AACCGAGATAAGTAACAGTAAAATAAATGGAATTAAAACTGAAAAAAACATAGTCGTTTGTTCTTTGCAGTGTAAGCCCATCCCTCATTAGGAGTCTTTTGCAAACCCTGCTAGTGGAGCTTTATCACATTTCTGCATCCTGTCCATTATAATAAATGCCTCTTGTTCTGTCTCCACTACATACTAGCCTGTGGCCTGTGCACAGCTCAACATACAGCTAAACCCTACTATTCTCCAATAGATCAGACTGTGTGTGAAATAGGGATGCACCGATACCAGTATCAGCATCGACGCTGATACTGGGCATTTTCATGAATACTGGTACTCATGAAAAAGCCCCAATACGAACAAACGATACCAGCACTTTAAATGTTCAAATGGATAGGTTCTGTGCTGACTGGGGACCTTGGAAGCCCTCTTGGGAACCACACGGCACCTGCTTTGGAAACCACATGGTGCCATACATTATACTGCAAAGCAGAATGGCACCAGCTGTAGAGGACTACAAATACTTTATAGCCGGTGCCATTCTGCATTGCTGTATAATGTATTGCTAGAATTTGTGTCCTTTATAGCTGGTGGTAGTCTGCATTGCTGTATAATGTATTGCTGGGACAGTAATGCCGAATGGCAATTGGCTATAGAGGACGACACATCCCGGCAATGCATTATACAGCAATGCAGAATAATACAATTTTTCTGCTTTGCTGTATAATGTATTGCTGGGATTTGTAGTCCTCTGTAGCTGTTGGTATTATCCTGCATGGCTGTGTCATGTATTGCTTAGATTTGTAGCCCTTTTATAGTTGGTGGTATTCTGCATTGCTATAAAACGTATTGCTGAGATTTGTACTCCCTCTACAGCTTATAGTCAGTGGCAGAACTGCCAGGATTACAGCTGCAACCCGGACCCTGGTGCTCCACCGCTGTCTAAAATCATCAGTCTGTATTATTGTCGCATGACTCTAAAAAAAAAAAAAAAGGTACCGATAATTGGTGTTGATGAATACTTGACGAAAAGTATCAGTGCATCCCTAGTGTGAACTAATCTTGACGCTTTATTATAAAGAACAAGGTAGGTAATACAGGGAACAAAATAGAATAGTACATACAGTAAGAACACATAAATTCATCATTAAAACAGTTTATTGTACTGCCAAAGTTAGTGGCAGATAATGATGAGTATGGGTAGAAGTCCAAATCGTACCAATGATGTTGCCAGAAAGAAGAGAGTCTAGAATCGTGGGTAAAGAATCATGGGACGTACAGAGGCATAGTAGGGTCAAACATTTATTTATGCATTAACATAAGGTAGTGCAGTTTGGGAACTAGATAGGAGTCCAAGATAAAGCCTATAGAAATAACAACAAACATTAAAAACCCTATGCTGGAGGTATGAAACTCTCCACTGTAAGACGTTTTTGTGTTATTTACAATTGTTACCTCCTATGAATGCCTAGGACAGACATGAGATGTAAATATGACTGACTGTTTTTGTTACGGACATGCAAAGTAATACCATAAAAAGGTGGGGTTTTAACGGTAGTCCAAAAGGTATATGAATCTGTACAAAGTTTTTACATAGTTTTTATTTGTAACACAGATAATTGTAATCACATTCACATTATTAAAACCAATATTATGTACGTAATGTCTAAACAACTAACTCCTAACTAACCACATGAGAGCATTATTAGAACAGTCTTTCTTATGCGTCTGAATTGCAATGATGATTCCAAACATGGGTAAACTTGATCCTTTCCAGCTTAGGCACAAGGCCATGGTGGTTTTTGTCTCAACGTGCTTCCTCACGAGGGAGGTGTTCTTATATGCTGGATAAATGTGAATGTTAATATACATAGATGCACATATATACTGACTGCTGCTATCTAGTGCCTCCACAGTAATGGCCACCAGCCAAGCCTCCAGAGGTATTACCATCCTGTCCAGTAACTTTAATAAATCAATTGTATCCTATACATAGGAGGGAAGGGCCACCACATGTGGTCTCACACCTATTTCCACAGAGAATGTACCTAAATTTCATAACGGCTACCTAATGATTCTCTGCATACCCTATAAGAAAGCACTGATCATTAAGACACATTAGAATATCTAGATGTTAAACATCCTTGTACATCTACATTTTACACACTATCCAAGACCCACAAGGACATGCATAATCCAACAGGTAGATCCATAGACTCAGGCATTGGATGTCAGTCTCAGACAACCAGCTGTCTGATGATTATCTGAGACCACATGTGGTGGCCCTTCCTTCCTATGTAAAAGATATCATTGATTTATTAAAGATACTGGATGGGATGGTAGTACCTCTGGAGGCCTGGCTGGTGCCCATTGATGTGGAGGCACTGTATAACAGAATACCCCACACCAAGGGCATTCAAGCCATCAAAGGATTCTTGGATAAACGTCCTGTATCAACCCAGCCATGCAAGGCCTTTTGTGTTGGAATTACTCCAGCGTTTTGACATGTAACATCTTTATGTTTAAGGAGATCCATTACTACCAGGTATAGGGCGTGACAATTGTCACACGATGTACGCTCTCTTATGTTAATTTATACCTAGGTGGATGGGAGAAGGGATTCATGGCAGATGACCAAATGACAGAGGACATTGGTCGCATTCTTTCATGGTATCGCTACAGAGATGATGTTGTGATGATCTGGATGGGATCTCATGACCAGCCCACTCATTGAAGGCAAAAACAGCCATAAATAGTATAATCTCAAATTTACCATGCAACGTAACAGACTGACAATTACCTTTTTTGGATACAGAGATTATTATCTCAGAGGATCTGTCTGTTACCACTAAGTTGTTTAGAAAACCTACAGCAGGCAATACACTTTTACATGCCACTAGTGCCCACTCTCAATCACTGGTCATGAGTATCTCTTTCAGTCTCTACCTGAGATTAAAAATGTACTGCTCTAGGTAACATGATTTCATACCTAAGGTTAAGCTATTAAAAGAAAGATTATTACATCAAGGCTATAGTAAACCCTGCCTAAAATGAGCTTTCAAACGGGCAAATGCTTTTTCCATAAAGACCTTTTCTATATAACATAAAAATATAACATAAAAATGATAAAAGACCAGCCAGCAAAAATACTACCAAATTAGTGACACAATACACACGCCAACACACTTACCTTATACAAATACTTTGATATATATACACACACACACACACACACACACACACACACACACACACACACACACACATTTGCATCTTCTTACAGAGGACCATATAATTAATAAATATGTACAACTGACACCTGACGTGCAAAAATCTAAAGGTGATTCGTTCACGCGTAGTCACTATGATGGGAAGGGGGGAAAAGACCACTGCACCTTTTTTAAATGGGGTGGTTGTAGTTAGTGTCATTGGATATAACTGGGGTCTTCAACCAGGTGTTTTGTATTGTTGTAAGCCTTCCCAATGTGCGCCCTGCCATAAAGGCTGGTTATAGATTCATGCAGGTACCATGTTTTTCTAGTTTGACTATTTTGGATGTGGGAACACACTGGGGTCCCAGCGTGCATTTTTGGTTGCTGGGCCTCCAGTGCGTCCCTGCACCTTTTTATAAGGAGGCTACCTCCTGGTACACCTGCATGCAATTTATCGACTGCATTAACATGCTCACACTTGGAGACTCGTATAGATCGAGTTAGGACCACACTTTGCAGCGGTGTGGCTTCTACATATTTTTGTGCAACTAAAACCTCTGTTTTTAACAGCATACTGTTGACGGGTAACCTTGTTTTGTTGCAGGTGAGCTGGGGGATTTTTTGTGTTTTGTGTAGTCTTCAACTAGGTTACCTAACGGATCTACTATGCTGGCCACTCGCTATGTGGACTGAGCCACCACCGGATCAAGGTCATGGTTTACCTCATGACCTGTCGGTTGGTGCATTCTACGTAGGCAAAACTTTTTGTACATTTTGCAAACTCATATAGGATCATATTTACTCAATATTTCATGTACGGCACGTGGGGTTGCATCATGGGTTTGATGCATCAGCAATCCAATTTACTGCGTGGGTCACATTAATCACAACCCAGAGGGGGTAATTTAGATAAAAAACTAGATGGATCATACCCACTTTAGGCTAACACATATCCAGGTCTAAATGAGACCCTCAGTTTAAAATATTTTCTATAGTTAAATGGATGATGTATCATATTATACATGAAGTACCACCAGCTATGTTGTTTAGTGATGCCTTCATGCTTTAGATCTTTGTGTAATGTTCCTTGGAGTTTTATGTACACTCTCTGTACTATAATACTTTTCATATGTTGTATTATTGTTGTATATGTTTTTGCTCTGATCCTGTATACTATTTGTATTTAGTTATGTTCTGCTGATGATATTAGCAGTTATACAATTCTGATGTATTTAAGTTAACTGTTCTTCTTAAAGTTTGTTGTCAAATATCTATATGGTTCAGGTGTTGGCATGTTGATATTGATGAGTTGTATATATATAAAATATAATTTTTTTTTTGTTTTCTGCTCGCTACCTTGGAGGCGGCATTCAGCTATTTCTCTCTCTGCTGTTCGGCCCCTATGAGAATAGGGACGAACAGCAGCGAGTGAGCTGCCGGTGGTTCGGCTCAGCTGATCCACATGTTGGATCGGCTGAGTCGAACGGCTTCTTCACTTTGGCTCAGAGTAATGTGCAGAGGATCAGCCAAAGTCAGCTAGCCGATGTACGGCTGAAATTAGCCGTACGGGGCCGAAGTGAATCGCCGAAAGGCGTTCGGCTCAGTTCACTTCGGCTCGGTTATTCACTCGGCTGCCTTTGGCAACTTAGTGAATAACCCCCTACAAAATATACTAGTATTCTAGAGGTTGCCCGACCATGACTTATGAAGTTATACTATGGGAGTAATGTGTTCAGATCAGTCCTGTGAGTGTATATATTATTTTATGTATGTAACAAATTATTCCTCAATACTTTGCAGTCAGATTACCACTATGAATATACTGAATGTGACAGCAAGGGCACCAGATGGCGTGTGGCAGTGCCTCATACCCCAGGACTTTGTACGGGAGTTCCAGATCCAGTAAAAGGAACAGACTGCTGTAAGTGCATTCAACGTCACATGTATGTGGCTCATTTGGTGTTCTTTCCAGTGGGTTCTTTCCTGTTCAATTATTTGTTCACAGTGGGCTTAGCATCATACATTTTAACTATATGTGCAGAATGAGACTTTATCTTTCTCTGTTTGGTAAACTAAAACTACAATTTAAAGGCAACTTAATTAAGTCGTTTTTTTGTACTTGTACAAATGTTGTGCTTGTGGTATATTTAAAATGTGAATATAGGCACATAGAGGAGACCCCCATATATCTCCCCCATCATAGGGGCTTAGGGGGCAAGAAGTCTACCCAGTACTATAAACTCTTTGCTGTAGAAAACCACTACAAAAGACAGAAAAGCATACAGATGATTTCAGTAATGGAAGACATCTAATGCTGCGTCTTTTGAGGTCACACACAGGAGCCAGGCTACCTACATCCAACATTTCTATTATTCTTGATCCTGGAATCCACCATCAAGCTACTGTTGAGTTATTATTCTCCTAGAATCTCTAAGCAGAGGGAGTTTCATTTATTCAATAGATTTATGTAGTTCCACCTAGCCACTGGGCTATTATTAGAAGCTTATACAACAAATAACAGAACAGAAAGGTAATGAGATGAAAAAAGAAATACTACTCTATTACATAAAAACTGTAGTGGTAACTCACTAGGGCATTTGTCTCTGTCATAGAAATGGTTTGAACTGGAGATTTTAAGGGCGCTAGAAGTATGGATGTCAACTCCAGCTAACATTGATGCCTTAGTTTTGTATGGTCAGTATGGAATGCTGGCTTCACTTTGCAACATCATCGTTTAGATATCAATAACCTACCGGAATTGTTCTCAGCTGCCAATTTTCATAATATCAGTTAGACAAATAAGTGTGGAACCCATTTAAGGAAGTGACACCTTCATTACTCCCTTGTGGGATGAGACACAAACAAAGTCAACTTTGGGGAAAACACACTCTTAATGTTTTCAAAAAAATTAACCAAGATTTAATGTCTCTGGGCAAACTGCTGTGTACATTTTAAATGGAGTTGGCCATTTAAATGTGTTTTTTTTTTTTTTAAATCACTGGACAAGGCTGATCTGGTTAGTGAAAATTTTAAGAGACTAAGGGGTCTATTCACTAAGCTGCCATAGGCAGCCGAGTAAATGACCGACCTGAAGTGAGCCGAACACTGTTCGGCTATTTCACTTCAGGCTGGTACGGCTGATTTCAGCCGTACATCGGCTTGCTTCATATGGCTTCGGGTCGGCCGAACATGCTCAGCATGTTCGGCCAACCCGAAGTGCAGGAGGAGTTCGACTCAGCCGATCCAACATCTGGATCGGCTGAGCCGAACCTCCAGCAGGCTACTCACTGCTGTTCGGCCTATTCTTATAGATGCCGAACAGCAGTGGGTGAATAGCCAAATGCCGCTGAGCGGCATTCGGCTCGGCTGTTCTGCTCGTTCCCTCAGAGGGACCGAGCAGAACAGAAAAATTGTTAAAAAAGTAAATAGAAAACGATTGTGCGGAGCTAGCAGTGACAGCTAGCTCCGCCCAATAGTTTTCTATTGTCCAGCGGCTCTGCTGCCGTAAAAAAAAACAAGAAAAAAAAAACAACTCTCCCGGGCGCTCTGGGAGCCTCCCGCTCCCGGCCGCCCAGGAGAGAAACACTGCTGTTTCTTTTTTTTTTCTTCTGACACGGAGACATGTCAGAATAGAAAAAATGCCGTAAGATCACAGCTGGCTCCGCCCAGCTGTCAGAAGCAGACTGTCGGACGGCCAAAGGCCGGCTGCTCGGCCAGCTTCGGCTTTCAGCTCAGCCGAGCCGAGGCATATGCGTTCGGCTCGACTGAGCCGCTCGGCCACGTTCGGGAGCTGTACGGGCTATAGTGAATAGCCCGTACAGCACCCCTTCGGTTCTACTGAACCAAAGGGGTCCTGGGGCCGAAGCTAGCTGAAGGATCAGCCGAAGCTACGGCTAGATCCTTCGGCAGCTTTGTGAATAGACCCCAAATCTTTTGAGTCAGAGGATGGCCTGAAGGCATTCACTGCAAACAACATGCTCCTAACATACTGATAAGTGGCTTCCAAAAAAATTGGTCCTAGTATGTGAGTATTCAGGACTTTTCATCGTGAACTCATTCAGGAGAGGAATGGTCAATGTTCCCTATAAAGCACTGAAAAAAATATGTTGCTTCTCTCTCTTCTCCTCCTCCTCCTCCTCCTCTTCTCCCTCCTCCTCCTCCTCTTCTCCCTCCTCCTCCTCCTCCTCTTCTACCTCTTTTTCTGCATATATTATACTATGTGCTGTATTTCTGTTATTGTTATCATATTTGTTATGATCGTTTACAAATTAAGCTATTCCTTTGTGACCCTAGCTTTCTCTTGCTCTGCTGGGCAATATCTGGATATGGCACTACAAGAATGTACCCCCTGTGGAACTGGAACATACTCCCTAGGTACTGGTGTACGCTTCGATGAGTGGGAAGAACTTCCACCTGGTTTCACCAGCATTTCCAGCACTACATATGGAACAACTGGGAATTGCACTATGTGAGTAATAACTTGCAGTCGCAACTATTGTGGCATTTTCCCTTGTTCCTTTTATCTTCATATTTGTCATACCTATTGTCCTGTTTTGCCCTTTTCTGAAAACCATCAGCATGTAGTAGTAGATTCGTTGCTGGATTTACAAGAACAAAAAGGGTAAGCATGAATGATTCCATTTAAGGACCGATGTAAGAAAAGTGTCAATAATGAAATGTCTTACTGTACATATTAGTCAGTATATTTATTTTACTTCCCCTGCACGGCAGAAATTATATTTAGTTGCTATTGTACCAAGATTTTTTTTTTTTCTTTACCCATTAAAGAAGAACTATGGGGTGAGTGAATTACACTCATCCCCATAGTTAGAGCCGATGTGTGACATTGAAACGGTCAAACGTTGGCTCTATTGATCGGAAAGTGAGCGAAAACATAGCGCCGCTCGCTCACTTCCTGATCATCTCCCTGCAGAGCGCAGTGACTTCAGTCACTGCTCCCTACAGGGATTTCCCCCTCCCCTCTCTGATCCTCCAGTGCTAACTGGAGGGACAGACGTGGGAAAGGGGCATAGCTGGCCCTGCCTCTAGATTGACAGCTGTCAATCAGCCAGCGGGCTGGATCTCGACAGTATCGTCAGGATCCGCCTTGGCTGCGTTGCTGTCAGTATATAGCAAGCTATACCTCAGTACATACTGAGCTATACCTCAGTATGTACTGAGTTTTGGGTCATGGGAGGATGTTGGTATATGTCTTCCCTTGACCATAAAGAGAAATATGAGAAAAAAGGTTACCCCATAGTTCTCTTTTAAAGGCTAAGTTCACCTTTCTGACCATGTTTCATATTACACCCATATTTAATGTATTGTGTGTTAAGATGTTTTTAGCATATCTACACTAAAATCTCCATTCTAATTTGTTCTTCCCCATGCTCTGCAAAACATGTTAACATAAATCATGCAATACTGCACATAAAACATGAAAATGTATGTGTTAAAACTCAGGCTGCCCCTATGGGTGCCCCCATGATTTTGAGCTCTGGTATCCAAACAGTGACACGAGGGCCAGATGCAGCTCTTTGATACTTGCTGTGTAGCCCTCAGACCCCAGGGGTCTTTAGTGAAAGTGGAAGCATTAATCTGTATGGGCTCATAGCAGTCATCTCTACTATCCTTGTGTAACATTTCCTGTCTCTCAATCTCTTCTACGGCATCTCCCCTGTCCCCAACCATACTTGTACCATCTCCACAGTCTTTCACCATATAACATGTCTGCTTTTTCTAATAGTCCTCTCTAGCATTTATATATAGCTAACAAGACATGCAGCTCTTAGGTGATTTTGGGGGCTGCAGTTGAGAGCTCCATACCTCCTTAAATTGACAACCACTGGATTAGAGTAGGACAGCATATGACAATGGCACCTCAATGACTAGTAATTAGAAGCCTGATTGGAAAACAAGGTGATAAACAAAATTTTTTTTTCTAACTTCACCTGAACATATATTTGATTTAAAATGAAATTGCTCAGTTAATGGTTGTCCTGATTTCATCATCACTAATGTGTGTAGTTCCTGTATATTTATTATATACTGGAAAAAAAATGACCGGAGACTATTGCTTTTATAGGTAGGCCCTTGTTTGTTGAATTCTGCATTTTGAACTCGGTTAATCGACCTGTCATTGTACAGCTCTCTTTCCAACTTTGTGCTAGTGGTAGCCATTTTCCCTTTTCAATCTTCAGATTCTCTTCATGTTGTTATCTTAGTGGATTCCTCAGTATCCCCTCATATAATCCTGGTCTGGGACATGCCTTATTGCTTCCCATTTCTCTTTATTTTAGTTATTTATGCTTTTTTTTTTTTTTTTTTTTGTATTGTCAAGGTCACAGTGGGAAGCCCGTGGAGAATATGTTGCATCAAATGCTGATGAATGCTCGGCCACTTTATTGTATTCAATCAACCTGAAACAGGAGGGAATGCTCAGCTTTGAATATTTATATCCCGACAGTAATATTGCATTTGAGTTTTTTGTAAGTATGCACTCCATGCAACAAGCAGACAACCACATAATTAACATAGACTCTGTAATCACTCTTTACTATTAAGGCCCTTCTGTGACTGCCACAAGCTGTTTGTGCAAAACTGTAGAAAAATTGAAGAAAAAAAAGAACTTTGGGTTGGAATAAAACTTAGCCATACTCCAAGTGCTCGTTTTGATGCAGGAAGTAAAATAAAAAATATATATTCACCAGAACCAGTCCCTGCAGCCTCTTTTCCCTAATCTAAGGACCTGTGAGTCATCACGTCTAATGCAGTCTATTAGATGTGAGGACACTGAGGGACATTCCATTGCTGGAGCAGAGGGAGAGGGAGGCTGCGGGAACCGGTCTAGCAGCTTGGTGGGACCAAGATTTGGGTGAGTATATCTTTTTTATTTTACACCCTAGACCAAAATGAGCCCTTAACCCTTGCAGTACAGGTGTAGCCCCACTGCAAAAGGTAGTTTTATATTGCCCAGAGTTCTTCTTGGAAGAAAAAAAAAAAGGCCTTGTTTGGTTCTCTTTTAAAGAAAACACACACACACACACCAGGGTCTATTAAAAAAAAAAGTATTGATGAGTCATGTTTTTAAGTGAACCTGCCCACTATTGTTCAGATATCAAGAAAGTGGCAACCTATTGACAGGCAAGCTAGAAAAATGGTGAAGTGACCTAAAGTTTTTCCCTAATGTGGTAGACTTTTAGAAAAGCAAAGCGTTCGGTAGCACAAAACCGTTTAACATATAAAATGAAAGAAGGGCTTGTAGTGCAAGTAAATATTTATGCAGTTCTTATAGTGCCATACTAATCCTGTCATTTGTTGCTCAAATTCCAATTTCACAACTCTGTAAACTAGAGTTAGACTATTAAAAAATCTGTTAGAAGTGCTGAACTGATGAATAGAAATGGTGAACATGACTCTCAGACACACTTTTCAAGCTTATAAATAAAACCTTTTATGATAACAACCACCAACCAACTAATATAATGTAATAAACTAGCTACTTCTAAACTTCATAAGTGGGCCCCAATGCTTCTGTTCAAAGTAACATCATTTGAAATGATTTCTTAGGTGTGCTGTCCCTGATAATTCTTGCCATTTAGAGTTATTTTTTTTCTAATGTATATCTGACGTATATAGCTTTAGGGCTTGTTTCAGTTATGCATGCTGCCATACATTTTGATACATTTTTAAATTAACTGATAATGCATAACTATTAAAAAATCCACAGTTCTCCATGGCTTAATATAGGGGGGGAATTTAGTAGTGACCTTTTGTGCTCCAATGCACTCAAAATGCAAAGCAATTTTAAAAATCCACAATTCTCCATGGCTTAATGTGATCATGGGGGAAATTTTAGTGGACAACTTTACTACTCCAACCCCACCTCCACAACATTTCTAATTTACTCCACTGCCTGACTGTCATTGCCCCATCCCTTTTCTTTGAATGGGGATTAAATCTGTCAATCACAGCAGCTCATTATTAGATTTGGGCGTTATCCATGGCAGTCTGCGTAGAATAGAAACCCCCACTCCTTCAGACTGACACCGGTGTCCTAGAAGTGCACAGACACTGCTACAGTCATTCTGTGGCCACTGCTAGGAGGGGTTAGGCGGTCAGTCCATGTGGGTTACAACTGTTGTGTTTTTATTTATTAGATATTTCTGTACCAACACTGAAGGAAAAAAATACTTTCAGTTATGTAACCTCTAAACTACAGTGCTGGCTCAGGTACAGAGTAGAGACTGGGAAGATGTGCTGCCCTGCCCTGTCAACACCTATCACCAATGCAGCTGCCTATAAGACATTTTGCAATTTGTATAACTCCTTCCATAAGCCAGTCCACTGCTCGCATCAGGCCTGAGGGCTCTTTAGATGAGTTCCATGGCAGATTTCTTTTACATTTTCAATTTATACTGTATAGACACCCTGCCAGCCCCTTCCACTAGCCACGATCTGCTTGGAATAAATAGAGAAGCACAGAAGACACATCACTGGGTTTCTAGCAAGATATTTATGCATATGGGAATATTTTGTTAAAGTATTTTTGTCATATTGACATGAAGGGAAATGAGGAAGACAGGTAACATACAACCCCAATTCCAAAAAAGTTGGGACACTTCTTTGGCACACCGACTGTAAGATGCTCTTTTTAAACACAATCATGTTACTGACCTGTTGGCAATTAACTGAATTAGCTGCAAAATGTTCTTCCAGCTTGGTAGTACCACTTTTCCAGCTTTTTGTTGCCCTACCCTAAATTTTTGAGACGTGTTGCTGCCATCAATTTCAAAATTACCTTATTTTTTTCTTAAAATTGTAAATTTTCTCAGTTTACACATTTTGATATGTTTTCTTTTTCTAGTGTAAATAAAATATGGATTTATGAGATTTGCAAATCATTCCACTCTGTTTTTATGTTGAATTTACAAAGCGTCCCAACTATTTTTGAATTGGGGTTGTAGTTGCAGAATAAACTTCACCTTTAAATTAAAATTTTCTATTTGGAACATCAATTTAAGCGAGAACTATGAGGTGAGTGCTTTTCACTCACCTCATAGTTCTAACCGACCTGTGACAATGAGACTGTCACAGGTCGGCTCAGTAGATCGGGAAGTGAGCGAACACATACCGGTGTTCGCCCACTTCTCGATCCTGTCACGGCTCTCTGCCGTGACAGGGGAGGGGCTGGATTCCCCCCTTCCCGATCCACCAGCGTTGACTAGCGGAACGGATGGGGGAGGGGCGGGTACAGCTGGCTCTGCCTCTAGATAGGCAGAGCCAGCTGTCACTCAGGCAGCTGGGCGGATCTCGACATGTCTGGATCCGCTGCGGCATCTCAGTATACCGCGAGCTCTAACTCGCGGTATACTGAGCTTAGGGTGACGGGAGGACGCTAGTTTGTGTCCTCCCGTTACCCTAAGGAGAGCTATGGGGAAAAGCCCTGACCCCATCGTTCTGCTTTTAAACTCCTGCAATCTGTTGTTTTACTGCAGTGCGATGAAAAAAATAAACATAACATTTTTTTCAGCGCAACATAATGTAATGGAACAAAAACAGATGTAATTGCAACACAACAGTACAAACACAAAATACACAGGTTGTTTGTCCACTCAGAACATGTTAATTTAAATAAAAGTGTCAAAAGAGAATATTTTTTTAAAAAAGCACGCAGTGGAAGTCAATGGAAGTTGAAATTGCAAGTCAAGGGATTTGTGATTTCCTTCCAATTTTGGTGTGATCTGTTGGATATACAGCAGCATATGCTGATATGTACTGATTGTATTACTGACATTTTAATGTGTACTAATGTCTTTTGAGCTGTAGATGGCGCTGTAATGCCATGTTACTCTCTGTGTGCATGCTTATCTATGATACACAGGAAGTTTTCCTATGTGTTTCCTGCACAATGCTGTATTCTGATGTAATGTTCTTAGAAGCAAGTAAAACTTAATTCAGCATTCCTCAAGATCTCAGCGCATCATCTAAACACTTAGCCAACATGAACGGGCCCTTAAACTCTTACATTTCTATAGACATTCTAGAGTAGTTAAAAACAAAGTCTGGATGTCTGCAGGGCCTGATAGAGGGTCAGGAACAACCCCCTTGGCTTCTCTTTAACGAAAAAGAACAAAAAAAAAAATTATGTCTTCACTTCAGGGTTGCTATAGTTTACAAGCAACTGTATATCCTGTGTTAGAAGACCAGTTCAGATCAACACTGTTGGGCATGTGTTTAAAAAAAAAAAAAAAGTGGTATTACTGGAAGTGACTTCTAAATAAATAGATTGAAGAATACACCGAGAAAGGTGCATCATATTTAGTAATAGTTTTTTTTTTTTGTATTTTAAGGTTCATAATGATCAATGTCAACCCATAGAAGAGGAATCCAGATGGATGAGGAACACTGACAATGGCTGGAGTGTGCATCAAGTAAATCCAGCTGATATTTGCATAGGAGTCAAGAATGTACTCAAGTTATATGATGTTCAAGGGTAGGCAACATCAGCAGTCCAGCTGTGCTCAAATTACAAATCCCATCATGCCGCTGCCTCTGGCAGTTATAGTCTTGCAATGCCTCATGTAGTTCCCCAACAGCTGCAGTACCAAGGTTGCCTACCCCTGTTCTAGGTTGTCTTGTATTATCTCAGAAAGTTTGCTCACTGCTGACAGTTGGCGCTCACCGCAGGGAGACGATTGGGAAATGAGCGGATCGGCTTCATGTTTCTGCTCACTTCCCGGTCAATAGAGCTGACCTGTGACAGCTTCTTTGTCACAGGTCGGCTCTCACGATGAGGATGAGTAGAAATCACTCGCCTCATAGTTCTCCTTTTAAAGAAGAACTATTCTTAACCATTGCAGTAGGGTTACCCTGCACTGCAAGGTTTAAGTGTACGTTTTCATCTAGGGTGTAAAATAAGAAAGTTATACTCCCCCAAGCCTCGCACCCAGCTGACTGTTAGACTGATCCTTTCAGCTTCTCTCCCCCTCCGCTCCAACTGCCTAAGGTGCTGTGAGTCATCACGTCCAAAATACTGTGGACGTGAGGACGTTGAGGGACATACCATCACTGCAGTGAAGGAGGACACAGGCTGGAGGGAGCCTTCTAACAGCCAGCCGTCTGTGAGGTTCGTGCGAGAATAACTTTGTTATTTTACACCCTAGACTAAAGTGAGCACCTAACCATGGCAGCAGGGTAGCCCCACTGCAAGGGTTAAGAATATTTTTCCTCGAGTTCTTCTTTTAACAAATATATGGCCAAGTCTGAATTAAATATGTAGAATCTTGGTTTGCACACAAGTAGGTTCCAACTACTGATCTGTGCTAAAATGATCCCCTCTCTGTTCACTTTAAATGGTAGTTTAAAATATACACATATTACCACACTAAATGGATGCTCATTTTGTATAATATTGCTTTTGAAGGGGCAGTTGCAAAGCGGTTTAACAGAGTAATTCCATCCAGCATATACAATAAGTGTGTTTAAATATAAAACACACTCTCCCTTTTTTTTTATTTTAAGTGTTTCTTTTTTTAATTTTAAACGCTGACTGCAGTGTACCTTTTTAAAAGGTACAATTCAGTCCAGAAACAAGAAAAGCATTGTCCCCACCATCTTTATTAAATAGACTTTATATATTTAGCAATGAAAAGCAATGTAATAATAAAACAAATCTGCACAGTTTACACATGCAAAAAAAGGCAACATGTGGCGGTTTCTACCTTGTACAGAAGTTGGAGGAGGAAATATACCAGCACTTATTAAGATTCAGCTGGTAGCCCTTTTTTTTATAATGCTAATATAATGGGCCTCCTTACCATTGTGTCTTGAATTGTATTGTGATTGTAATGTCTCCCTTATATTGTAAAGCGCTGCGCAAACTGGCGCTATATAAATCCTATATAATAATTACCTAATATTAATAAATTAAGTATGACTTTCAGTAATTGGCAATGAGCAAATCTGCCAGGATTCGATTTGCTGGGGGGATTTGTTAATCCTGCCTGAAATCCACAAAACCCAAACTGAAGGTGCTCATACACTCTTCGATTTTCATTCAGAAATCTTCCTCGAATGGTATTTCGAACGAAAATCAAACAGTTAATGGGACACCAATGATTTTTGGCCTTTGAAATTTCTGGCCTTTGCAGCAAACTGAAGGTAGGATGTTGGGGGGTGGAGCCAGGGTGAATCTTGATACTAAATTCTGGCCATTTTCAAGGCTAATAGATAAGCTACGGTCAAAAAGGAAATGGGGAGGACATGGGGAGCTGGGCACTGTCACGAGGGACATTTAACAAGGCAAAAAAATAAATACAAATACTGAACAGCAGGGAATTCAACTTTGAGGGCAGCATGAGAAAAACACAAATCCTTTAACTTGCATGCTTGGGAGATGCCTTTAGGCTATATGGTGTTATGAAACAAAATCATTTTCACAGACCGGGTAACCAACACCATAGTCTGGCATCACATAATTTGGATAGACAATATTTTTAGCTTACTAATTACAAAAATGAATTATGTTTTCAGGTAAAGCTTACTCAAGGAACGAATGTACTGTACTGGAAAACTACAGCCTTTTATATTGGAGGCACCACTCCTAAACCAGTGTTATTGAGAAACATATTTATCACAGGTAATTTACACTTGTATAACCATTTTTAAGGGAGGAATACTTATATTCTGGTGTTATAAGAAAAGCATCATGTATCTTTTACAGGTGCTGCATATACATCAGAATGTTTCCCATGCAAGCCTGGAACATTTGCACCCACTAAGGGAGCACCATTCTGTCAGATCTGTCCAAGAAACACTTACTCAACTCGTGGGGCTTCCTTCTGTGTGGAGTGTGAAGCTGATAAGTACTCTGGTGAGTGACATTTAAAAGTGAAAATGTAAAATATAAACGCATTAATAATGTTAGATTTACTGTAGTTGACACCAGCAGAATCAGGTGGTGCTCATCTCAGGTTTATGGGCACCTTTAATATACAGTTTATATAGATATGTTATGTTATCATAAATAAAACCATGAATTCCGTCCACTGGCCATAAGCCATATAGCTTTGCTGTTCCTTGTGTTAGTGTTTCAGACGGGGGTCAGTTCCTGTCAGAATACCTTACGGAATATACAGTTGTATATGATATGGCTTATCAATTTAATATTATCTCTCTGAGATATTTAACATATAAACATACAGTGGAAATGCATATATGGCATATGTGTTCCCACTAAAGGATTTGTATTTCTCTTCAGTCGGGCCCTAGAGCACCACTGCAGCTGCCGCAAACTTGGTCAAGATCACTAGTCAAAATGCATACCCAGCTTATTTAATGGACAATGAAACAGCAGCAGCACATTTAATGAGGTCATCTCAGGTGGGCTTCGCAGGGTCACTCTCGTGGGCTGTGTGTGGTTTCAGGTGGGCTCTGCAGGATGTCTGATATGTGCGGCATCTCAGGGTCGTTTTCTAAATACTATTTCTGCAGACACGCGTGCTCAATTGTGCATGTGTTTCCGTAGTGTGGGATCATTCACAAGTAAATACCAGTATTTTTCAAGTAATGAACGAACAAGATGGTGGCCTTGAGAAAATCTAGTTATAAATGTAACTGTATTATTTTGTATCTCTTTAGAGGATGTACGAAAGAGATTTGACGAAAGCAAGGATTCTCTGCTTTTTTATTTTCATATGCCCTTTTGAGCATCCTTGTGCTATAGCCCTGCATCATTAACCGTGACCGTTTTTTAATGTATTTTAAGGGCTAAAAAAAATAGTTTTCTAGTTTGACTAGTAATACTTTTAAATCAATAAGTATTTTATTATGTTGCTGGTAGAAAGATTAGCAACAATAATCACAAATTAATGGAATTTTAAAAATACTGTATGTGTGTTCTTTTAGGGTTAGTTCACACCAGAAACTGCATCACAACGGCGTGCGTCTGCGCAGTTGCATTGCGATCTGTTGTGATTGCACTGCGTTTTGATGCGTTTAGTGCAGTTAGATGAAGGTAAAATAGGACAAGCAGTACTTTTTCTGATTGCATCTGAACGGACTGCAATGGTGTGAATTAGGCACAAGAAAGCCCATAGGAAAGCATTGGGCTGTATTTTTACTGCAGCAGTTAAAATAAACGGACTGCATCACAACTGCATATGGTGTGAACAGGTCCTAAATGCTAATGCACAAAACAAACAAAAACATAACATTTACAGAGAAATGGTATTAAACAAAATAATAAAAGAGAGCGCACGGAGGAAGGAGTTTTATTTGGGCTAGTTGGTGATAAACGAGGGTTCCTGAGGGGTTAAATAGGCAAGACATTTATTTTAAAAGCCAAGCTTTTTTATGCTTTCTAAGTTACTTGGGTGACTCCTGTGTTTGCCTTGTGTCACCTTGTTTGCATTTGATAACCATACCATGTCCTCAATTATCTATAAACATTCAGCGATCACTGATCACTAAGTGTGTGTACCTTGCTCTTCTCTCTGACACGCTGTCACAGGAGGCTGATTGAGCGGAGCAGGGAGGAGAGCTCAGCCCCCACACCGCTCTGCCGGACTGTGATAAGCGGCTGAGCGGTGTGGGAGGAAAGACACCGGCCGTTCACAGCGCTCTCTTCCTGTAGCGATTTGGCCGGCTGACACAGAGCAGCGCCCAGCGCAGAGGAGAGAAACCTGGGATGCGCCGATGTATCGGCAGGAAATGGCACTTTCGGCATTTAGCCAAAAGTGCCATTTTCAGTCGATATGTTTCGGCTGCCACCGATATATCCTTAGTATCCCCAGTATTAACTCTTGCAGTAGGGTTACCCCCGCACTGCCAGGGTTAACTGCTTGTTTGTGTCTAGGTTAAATGCAGTATGTAGTTATAATCAAAATAATTGGTGATTTATTTTTTTTAACAATTAGCCAGAGATCAGCTTTAACAAGTAGTTTGGAGTGCTGCTTTGTGGCTTACCTTTTCTGGATATGGTTCACAGCTAATAAAGAAAAAAGGCCTTTTATTTATTTAATACAGGTGTTTATATAGCACTGTCAATTTACGCAGCACTTTACATTGGACATTTACATCAGTCCCTACCCTTACGATGCTTACAATTGAAGGTTCCTAACTCGCATACATACAGGGTCGATTTAGACCGGAGCCGATTAACCCTGCAGCATGTATTTGGAGTGTGGGAGGAAATCCACCCAAGCACAGGGAGGATATGCAAACTCCTTGCAGACAGTCTCCTGACCGAGATTTGAACCAGGGACCCCCAATGCTGCAAAGTAGAAGTGCTAATTACTACACCACTGTGCTGCCTTTGGCAAAAAATCACAACATGATCTTCTGTATATAATGTTTTTGTCTCCAGATCCTGGTTCTGGATCCTGTCGTCTTCGCCCACCGTGCACAGAGAAGGATTATTTCTATACACACACACCATGTGATGCCAATGGAGAGGTAAATTATAGAGATCATTTACTATACAATGTAATGTGCAGAAATTATTATTCCCAATTAACCAATATTGTCTGTTTGCTCACTTGTAGACACAACTGATGTATAAATGGATTGAGCCTAAGATATGCAATAACAGTGTGGACGCAGCTAAAGAACTGCCAGAATCGGGTGTTAAGAAAAATTGCCCACCCTGCAATCCAGGATTTTATGTGACCAATACGAGTACTTGTGAGCCCTGCCTTAAAGATACCTTTTCAAATGGGACCAGTAAGTCCTCCATACTACTTATAACTAAGGCCCCTTTCACATGGTCCGATCAGGAGAGGATCTGTGTCACCTTTGTGACATCCATATCCATCTTGCGTTTGTATCAGATTTACCCGCAATCCAGCATAATCGGGTTTAGAGAAATGGAACTCTGATCTGTTTGTTTTTTGGGACCTGGCTGGAACCGGGGGTAACGGGATGTAAACGGATGCCTGTCCATTTAGATCCAGCTGCCCACGGACTAGCATTTGGCTTCCGATCAGGTCGGCCTTAAAAACTGACAGATGGACCTGATCAGAAAGCCTGTGTGAAAGGGCTAAAAAAAAAAAAAAAAAAAAAATGTTGTACTGTCAGCTTGTTAGTCCAGATGACAGCTTTTTCTGAAGGGATCTGGAATTGGTTTTGAAGGGTTCCTGTAAAGGTTTAAAAGAAAATCTCTCATGGGAGAAACCTAGAAGTTGTTGCCTGGTTGCTGTTTTGACCCTCTTACTTCAGTTCTAAAGTGAAGTCCCTAAAATGGAACAAGCATGCCGATAAGGACTTCTGTTGTTTTTGCTTTTTCCTGATCTGCATGTTTGTTCCAGGTCAGTGACTTTTGCAGTGTTGACGGAGGGTCAGCATAACAGCTGGAGATCAGCAATGGAAACTCCCATATGTCTTTTATGACAGATTTGCGGTAATGATGATTTGTATACACACCATTACCAGCCGGTCGTCTTGGCAATTTGAACATTGCAAACTGTTTTGTTTTTTTTCTGTTTACTTTTATTTGCACTAAAATAGACATTCGTGTGTAATAAAAAAAATGTATCCTCATGGCTACAAAGTTTTGCAATCACTGGATGGAACTAGAACCTTCGCCTGTGCCTTTTTTCCTCCTCCGTGTAATCAGCACTGTTGTAACTATTGTTGCTATGCAGCGCTGTGTGTATGGATCCATTGAAGGTGTATGCAGTGTATGCACCTATGCTGCATACACTGTCATCTCTCTCAACAACAGAAAATGAGAACAGGAAATATGTCATGACAGGAAATTTTTTCATTGGACGCCGCTTGTCACAAAAACATGTGGAAACCGTGCATTTGAAATCAAATGCTTTGCGCAAAAACTGCGTGAAATAACACGCAGAAACGCAAACGCTATGTGTGAATGGAGCCTAACAGTTAATTTTTCAGGAAAAGCTTCCAAGGGATTGTCATCAGATCAAAGAAGAAATTGGCTAGAAAACCTATGGATGTCGGTCTGTTGAATTTAGCAACCGAAACTCAAAAGCATATTCAACATAGAATAAAAAGGAACCACCAAGTGGAAATGTCATGGCACAAACCGCTTGTGTAGAAGGGCTGCATTTTACAATCCCACAGAACGATCAATTAATTTCCTTCATTATATATTTATTATAATTTAGAGGTAGAAGCACAAGTTGAAGCACAAGATGAAGCAATCAGTAATATTAATAACTTCACTTTACTAGTAGTCTTCATCAGAAGCCTGTGTGGCAGAATAACATTGCAGGAGCACAATTGGGAAACCAGGACAGAACGTTAAGGTGGCCATACACTGCAAATTTCTGCTGATTCTTAAGGAACCGGCAGAAATTTGCAAAATAGAGCAGTGTATGGCCAACTTTACCCTCTAACAGGAAGTGCCTGCATAAGGACATTCTAATGGCAGAGTCACCAGGGTTGATTTTATTGAAAGCTGCAGATAAAAAATTATTGCTAATTACTATAAAAATATTTTAACATTTGAAAGCTTATGAGATTTCGGTAACTGGGTTTACACATACGTTAAAGTGGAACTCCAGGCTTTCGGAGATGTTCACTCTGCCCTTTTGACCTCACCACACAGTGAACAAGAGTAGAGAAAAATTCTCTACTCTGAGAATGAGGATTTCTCCTCATTTTGGTGTAATTTCCTCTCACTTCTTCTAATGTTAGATCTTCTAAAACTAAAAGAAAACTGGAAAAAAAATTTGCTTTAATTCCTGTTTTGGGCACAAATCCTTTGTTTAATAACAAAAATTAACATGTTTTTGACAATATGAGTAATCTAAAATACATTGTATCAGCTGATTTCCCTAAAGAACTGGCATATTTATAAAGCAGTGAGTCTGACATTCACCAAACATTGACTGCAGGTGAATGTGTTTTAAATATCCGTGTTTTATTCATTGGCAATGAATGTTTGTTTTTTGAGAAGTCCCAATCCCTACTTTATGAATACACTTTTAAAGTGTAGCATTTTATAATAATATTGCATTAATGTATGATGTATATTTTATAAGGAACAAATAACTGCATAACTTTGCTCACTTACTGCAACTTGATGGTTTGCCATCCCATTCACCTTACTTTAATTTTGTGGTTCTTCACAGCTTGCACGCCCTGCCCAGCTGGCACAGAAGCTGTGCTTGGATATGAGTTCAAATGGTGGAATACACTACCTGAAAACATGCAAAGTTTAGTCATGAGTGGGCTTTCCTTTGAGTATCAAAATGAGTCAGGTAATTAAGGCTTCAATTGCCTGGAGTGTTTTTTTTTTTTTTAGTGCTTTTAGTTATACATGTTAAAGAAGTTCGCTAGATCAACATAGTGTTTTAGTGTTTACTTTTTTATCTGTAAATATAGCTGGTAATTGTACATCCCTATTTGTCCATTACAAACGCAGGCCTTACTTTCAAGTTTGCAGTGCTACACAACAGTTCTTCTCTGTAGCCCCTTCTCACAATGCAAGTTTTTGATTTGGCAGAATGCATTTCACAGGTGGCTGAAAGCTTATCTCAACAGTTGTTAAAGCAGAACTATATAGTCTTCTCACAAAGCATTGCTGGCAGATAGGCTTTTGTTGCAGAACAGACTCGGTATGCCTTACCTACCTGCAAGCAATGTTTTTTCGACATGTGGGCTGAGCCGCGCATGCGCAGCTCAATGTGCTTCCTTTAGTATTCTTTTGGTGCTAGAATTTAATAACTTTGTTGCCTATGCATGGGAGTTATGTCATCCTGAACCAGCCAATTAAGAAAACCAAAGAAGATGTCGGCAAAGAAGCATGCTTCCCTGGAGGAGAAGTAATTGTAGAGACCCCGCCATAAGCTGGAATGTCCTTAAAGGAGAACTATGGGGTTAAGGCTTTTCCCCATAGTTCTCAGGGTAATGGGAGGACACAAACTAGCGTCCTCCCCGTCACCCTAGGCTCAGTATACCTCAGTATACCGCTGTAGCTCGCGGTATACTGAGACGCCGCAGCTACTGCGGATCCCGACAATTGTGCCGGGATCTGCACAGCTGCGTGACTGATAGCTGGCTCTGCCTATCTAGAGGCAGAGCCAGCTGTACCCGCCCCCTCTCCCATCCGTTCCGCCAGTCAGCGCTGGCGGATCGGAGCGGGGAGGGGGGAATCCAGCCCCTCCCCTGTCACGGCAGAGAGCCGTGACAGGATCGAGAGGTGAGCGAACGCCGGTATGTGTTCCCTCACCTCCCGATCTACTGAGCCGACCTGTGACAGTCCCATTGTCACAGGTTGGCTAGAACTATGAGGTGAGTGAAAAGCATACATCTCATAGTTCTCCTTTAATGCCAATCTAGTATTTCAGCTCTTAAAGGGTCAATTTTTAACAGAGCGGCTGTCACTGAAGCATTAGAGCTGTTACCAAATCAAATATTGCTGGGATGTCATTGTTGCTGCTGAAATTAGAGTGACAGCCAGCTGGGAGTTGTTTGAGATATTGGGGCCACCAGGTATTTTGTCCTGCTGACAAAAGAAGGCCTGAAATTATTTGGTGGTGTTTTTGGGGATCCTATACCCGTAATCCTCTACCCCTAGACATCTGAGCCATTAATGTTTTGCAAAAGAAGATTGGAGGACTACATTCTGTCTATCACTATCGGTGAGTGCAGCTGGAAAGCAAGTCGCCAGTAGTAAAGCACTAGTGAGTAAAAACCAGCAGCTCCTAAGGGGTAAACCCTCATTCACACTGAGCGTTTTGTAGCGCTTTTTCTGCCCGAAAAAAAAAAAGCACCAATAAAAAAAAAAACAATTATTTCTATGACCGTGTTCACATATGAATGTCATGTCGATTGAGGCAAAATCCCTGTTGCTTGAAGAAAGTACATTCTTCTTTTTGGCAGATTCTGCGCTTCTTAGAATTTAATGGAAAAATGCATGATGTTGTGTTCACGTGTAAAAATTTGCAAAAACGTGCTGAAAACGCACATATTTCATGTCTCTCCGGTGTGAATGCAGGCTTGATGCTACACAAGTAAAGTAGAGTTAGGGCCCGTTCACACCAGACAGTGTGTTCGGGCCTGATTCTGGCCGAAACGCACTGGATCGTATTGCGGCCGGCCCACTTTCTTGTGATTTACTGAGGCCTATTCTCAATATTATAAAATCATCACAAGGAAAAAAAAAGTTCTTCTTTCTACTAAAAAATGTCTCGCTAAGAACCACCTTGAAAGCCTGTTTTTCATTATCATTTTCCTGTTTTTTTTTAGGGTGGGAAGTTGCTGGAGATTATATTTACACCTCTGCTGCATCTTCAGATAATGATTACATGGTACTTAAATTGAACATACCTGGCTTCAGGTAACAATACTTATACTTGTGAACTCAACAGCTTAATAGTTATTTGTTGAAATGTCTAATTGCTTTCCTTTTTGTACAGTCCTCCCCGCAGAGTAACAGATGACAGTGAAAGTAATGAGGTGGCCCATATTACATTTGTGTTTGATCTCAAATGTATTGTCAGATGCCAGCTCTTTTTCATGATAGTAAGTATCAGTGTGTCTATTTAGTTACAAATTAAGGATGAGTTGGCTTAAAGGCAAACCCATATGGTTTTAGGGCAATATTATGTACTTTTTTAAGTTATGCAATTTCCTGATTTTTGTATTTATTTCTTTAGTATCTTTAAATCTATCTTTTTCTAGTATTTGTCTAAAAAACTCTGTTTCACAATTCACCATTTAATACACGATGTACCCATGACACAGAATTCACAAAGCAGCTATACCTTTTTTTTAGGGCTGTTACTGATTTAAACTTTTCGTGTTCGATTAATCGAAATGTTTTTTAATCGATTTAATTGCGATTAATTATAACGCACATACAGATCCAACTACATTGGCCTATACACATACAGCACAGCAATTAAGTAATAAAATGAACTAGGATCGCACTAATCCAGCACGCTATTAATCTCACGTGCCCCACTCACTATGGCCGCCGCTTGAGTGGGGCAACTCAGAATAATAATGTGCTGGATTAGTGTGATCCTAGTTCATTTTATTACTTCATTGCTGTGCTGTATGTGTATAGTGCAATGCCTTGGCTGGCGCTCGTGCAGAACAAGTTTCTTGGGCAAACCTCTCAGTTCTCAGTGTCGACAGATCATCGGCCCAAGTGGCTCCGTCGGCTAACGAAGGGAAGTGGGGAGGAGTCCAGTGACATCACAGACATCGACGTCACCGGACTCCTCCCCCCTTCCCTTCATTAGCTGAGGGAGCCACTTGGGGAAGGGGGGAGGAGTCCGGTGACAGTATGTGACATGGGGACCTTAGATTGTATGTTTCTTGGACAGGCACTGATGTGAATGTGCAGTATGTAAAAGCACAGCATTGTCAGCACTATAGAAATTATTTATTTAAACCGCTCCATCACTTCTCTGGAAAAGCGTACCCTTATTATACATATGAGTACTAGTTAACCATAAGCATTTAGACCACATTATTTAAAAGGATAGTTTGGGTATGAATTAGAGATCCTCCCTGTACCACAGTTGTGAACAAAAACTGTAATGCCTAAAGCAGTGGAAGTGGATGATTTCATTTATTTTAGCTCTGCATCTAAATTATTTAAAACATCTCACTGGGGGCTTGTGGCATCAAAATGCAGTGTCACTCAACTCTCAGCCGGCTTCCGGGTCTTCCGGCAGTCCTATCGGAGATCCAGTGACGTCACAGACATTGACATGACCGGACTCCTCCCCCCTTCCCTTCGTTAGCCAACGGAGCAACTTGGGGAAAGGGGGAGGAGTCCGGTGACGTCTATGTCCGTGACGTCACCGGATCTGCGACGGGACTCCCGGAAGCCGGCGGAGAGGTGAGTATTTTCATTAGCGATCAAAACATTTTTTAATCCATCAAAAAGACTAACGATTAATCGAGAAATTAATCGTTAATTTCCGCAGCCCTCATTTTTTTACAGGAAATATAGAACAAAAGCTATTTATTTTTAGCTGCTGAAGGCTGCCGAGTGAATAACCAACCCGAAGTGAAGGGAGCCGAATGCTGTTCGGCTTTTCACTTCAACCCTGTACAGCGGAAAACAGCCGTACATCAGCTGCCTTCGGCTCCCTTCACTTCGGTTCAGCCAAAGCGCGTTCGGCTGAAGTGAAGTACATGTTCGCCTCAGCCGATCCAACATCTGGATCAGCTGAGGCGAGCGTTTGGAAGTTCATTCACTGCTGCCCCCCCCCATTCTCATCGGGGCCGAACGGCAATGAGTAAATGTCCAAATGCTCCATACAGCATTTGGCTTGGTTATTCTGTTCATGTCCTCAGGCATAGTGCTAGCGAGCAGAATTAAAATAAAAATGCAAACAAAAGAAAGAAAATAGCGTGGGGTCCAGTTTAGGTCTGGTAGGAATGTTAGGAGGAACCCCCAGTAAAAACTTTAAAAAAAAAAAGTGTATGAAGTTCCCCCCAATAGTTATACCAGGCCCTTTAGGTTTGGTAGGAATTTTAAGGGGGAACCCCCCTTGTGTGCCATACCAGGCCACATGCCCTAGGCATTGGGTGGGGTGCTTTTCCAACTTGTCACCATGCCAATGGGGACAAGGGCCCCTTTTCCATAACCCTGGCCTGGTGGTTGTGGGGGTATGCGGGCAAGGGGGCTTATTTGCATCAGAGTACCCTCTTTCATAAAGGGGGCACTCAGATGCCACCCCCCCCCCTTGTGAATGAGTAAAGGGTACCCTAATCATTCATTAAAGGGTTTAATTAAAATGTAAAGAAGGAGACCAGACTTTTTGAAAAATACTGTATTTGAACAAAAAAATAGTCGGATGTTCTTTATTAATTAAAATAATAATGGTCACATTTAATGCACTTTAGAGTTCACGGATGTTTTCATGAATTGTAATGATTAGTGCAACACATTCATGATTTTTTTTCCATTTTTTATATTGTTTTGCATATTATTATCACTATTGGGATAATTTTGATGCTTATAGAAGGCACATCTTTTATATTTACATTCTACATGTAGTGAAATGTTATACTAATCCCACCCTCCTTTTTAATTTGATATTTAAAAAAATTTAATTTTAATAAATACCTGCTAGTTAAGATTCAGTCCCAGACGAAAGAGCTCCACGACGGGTGCCGGAGGATGACTTCTCCCTCTCTCCCTGATGTCACTTCCTCCTATCCAGTCAGAACTGCAAAGGAGAAAGGGAGGGAGAAACGAGAGACTGTAGACAGTGCCACCTGCTGCCTACTAGCCACAAGCCCGGTTTGAATAATGTGCCTGGGTGTGAGGTGGCCTCACACCTGTGCACAGGATACCAAACCCAGACTGTCCGAGTGAATCCCGGACGGGTGGCAATCCTAATCTCAGCTGCAGATGTACACCTTGTGGTTTTAGAGACCTACGTTCCTCTTTAGGCTTGTGGCTGTATTACTGCATACAGTCTGTCACACTTGAGGACAATGTGGACCAAACAAGCGAGGTAATAATATCCAACTATTTTAACTCCTCATCTTCACAAGAGATACAGAAGCACTATCCAGGTGTAAATAGTATTCAAATAGAAAATAAGTCCAAAATGAAAACTTGAGTAGAAAATAATAAATGAAAGTCTCTTAACTAACACAGTTCATGGAAAGGCAAGTAAACAGGAGGGATCAAATACTTGTGGTTAGAGGAACACAGGATGCTTTTACTCTGTGAAGACTTGCTATGGCTATAGCAACTCGTCTCTGGGATTGTATGAAGATCAGATGCTGCAGGAAGCAGGTCAGTATTCAAAAGGTTCAGTGATTGCTGCTAGTTACACACTCCAGCGAGGCAAAGAACAGAGTGATGTATGCTGTGTTGTCTGCGAGCCAAGTCTGGAGAGGCAGAGTGGCAGGCAGATTAAGAGTCTAGATGTTAACCCTCAGGGTGGAGAGTGGATTTAGTACTGGTTATGTCAAGATGGAAATGCGGGATCCATTGGCAGAGGTAGTACCGAGCAAGGAAAGTAACTGTAGCCGGCATGAGCACATTGCTTGAACGCCGGTAGATTGAATCCCGCGGCTTAAGCCTGTTAGAGAGGCGGGTCTGAATGACGCTGCCTATGAGAGGCGGCACGCCCTGCTTGAGCCAGAACGAGCAGAGGTAAGCATATTACACAGATCCACAATAACCAACCTCACAGCACATTCTTCTAAATCATCTCACTCCAGAAGATTAACTTTAAGCGACAAGCTAATAGAGGCCCACGCAAATCTGGAAGCAAATATAATGCAAATCTCCTTGGCTAGAAAAGAAGCTGAAATGGAAGCTCAAAGCAAAACTCTTCAAGCAGAGATGGCAGCTCGCCAAGCCGAGATGGAAGCTCAGAGCAAAGCTTGCCAAGCAGAGGCGGAATCCAAAATAAAGATTCTGCAAATAGAAAGGGAGAAATCAGCTTCCCTAGCAAGGCTGAAAGTCCCTGAAAAAGCAATGGGAGAAAGTACTAATTCAGACTGTTCTCTCCCAGCAGAACTGGAAGATCCAGTTGAACAGATCAGTGAATAATATTTGCATTGATACAGGGCCATCTTCTGTACCTCCTGCTAACAACACTGTTCTGACTCTCAACACAGAGACCTCTAAGCTACAAATGCCTGAGCCTATTCAAGTCCACCATGCAAGTGCATCTACACAGCAAACCACATCTCCTCCTGCCAATGACAAGGTGACTCACAATGACAAGCCACAGTTCAAGCTACAGCCAGCAGAAGCCTTAGAGGCTAAACCACAGCTAAATGCTCTTGCAACGACATTTTATTCTGGTATAACTCACCCTTCTTCACCAGAGAACTTTCACGCCCAAGAGGCTCCACAAATTAATTTGTGGATCTGCCTGACTTCGCCAGATATATAATTCACCGTGAGCTCATTAACATTAGCTTCTCAAAGTTCGACGACTGTCCAGAGAATTACAGGGCCTGGAGATCAACCTTCAAAGCTGCTATTGCTGATCTTAACCTTACTGCCAAGGAGGAGCTTGATTTGCTCATAAAATGGCTGGGGCCAGAATCTGCAGATAGTGTTAAAAGACTGAGAACAGTACATGTTGACCACCCAGATGCAGGTCTTGTTGCTGCATAGGCAAGACTTGAGCAAACCTATGGTAGCTCTGCAGCCATAGAAAGCGCTCTATTTAGGAGCCTGCAAAACTTTCCAAAAATTGTAACAAAGATCATTGCAAGATTCAAGAACTAAGTGACCTCCTCATGGAGCTAGAGTTGGCAAAAACAGACCTTCATCTACCTGGACTAAGTTATCTGGACACCGCTCATGGTGCGAATCCAGTGGTGCCTAAACTGCCATACGGCCTGCAAGAAAAATGGGCGCAAAAGGGCTCAAAATACAGAGAGACTATAATGTATCGTTTCTTCCATTCTCATATTTTTACAGGTTCATCAGTAATCAAGCTTGGACAAGAAATGATCCTAGCTTCAGTGAATCAAACTTGCCTGCTTCATCATCATCAAGGTATGATAACACAGCAGCTAAACAGAGACTTTAATAGAGCAGTATCTGTTAAAAAGACAGACATCTCACCTCCCATATCCTCTCCTACTGATCAGTGTTGTGGACGATAGAGATAAAGATCCTAAGCATCAGTGCCCTATTCACAAGAAGCCTCACCCTCTTAAGAAATGTTGTTGGCTTAGAGCAAAAACTTTACAAGAGCGCATGGAGATTCTCCAGAAACGTGGAGTATGCTATAGGTGCTGTGCTTCCTATGACTATTTTGCTAAAGACTGTAAAGTTGTCATCGAGTGCACAGAATGCAGTAGTGACAAACATGTTACAGCTATGCATCCTACTTCACTTCCAGACAATCCACAGCAGCCACCTACATCCAGCCCTGTTTCAAATCATGGCAGGGAGCAACAAAGTCATGCTCCAGCCACAACAGGTGGTTCTTCTTCATGTATTGTAGTCTGCGGGGAGAGCCATGGGCAACCACCTGCAGCAGTTACATCAAATTTAGTGAACTACTTCACAATGGGGAAAGACTCTTGCAAAACATTTTGTCTTGTCAAGGTGTTTCGCCAAGGACAACCTGAGAAAGCAGTTAAAATGTATGCTGTTTTAGATGACCAATTCAGAATTCTTTGACTTATTCAGCATAAAGGGTAACGTACTATCCTATACACTGCACGCATGTGCTGGTTCAGTGGAAGTTTCAGGAAGAACAACTTATGCTTCGGATTTCATCATTGCTCTTATAGAGCGAACCGGGCGGATTCCTCCTCCTAGTCACATTGAGTGCAATCAGTTGCCTAATGACAAAGAGGAAATTCCTACACCAGTGGATGCACTTTCTCTACCTCACCTATTTCATTTAGCTAGCTGCATCCCATCACTTGACAACGAAACCAAAATGATGCTTTTTTTCAGCAGAGACATCCTGAGAATACCCTAAGGTACGTCAGCAGCACAATGGGTGGAATGAGGCTCCTTATGCCCAAAAGACTGACCTAGGTTGGGTACTTATTGGAGTCATGCGCAAATGCAAACCTCAAGCCTCAGATGGTGTATGCTCCAATAAAATTATCGTACAGGTAAACTAAGACTGCATTAAAACACCACCCTGCAATAGTTCTGGTAAGACAATGCACCCGATTTCTTTCAACAGTTATAAACTTTCATCTTCTTTGGGCGAGCAGGAATCCACTGATGCAAACACCCAGACCTATGCACCTGATTTCTCGAGCATCACACCAGTAACTTTGAAGGCAGTAAACATCTTGGGAAACCCATAGGAGTCTACCTACACCTGTCATCATGCAAGATGATTCTTCTCTTCATGAAAAAGCCATAGACCTGCCCCAAAGAACCAAAGGTATGCTTTCCGAAGCCAACCTCAGACTCCATAAGATTGCCTCAAATAGTGCTGTTGTTATGAAAGCCTTTCAGCCTGGTGATCATGCCACAGGATTCCTAGGCTTGAACTTTGTGGGACTGTGCTAGCTGTAGAAATTGCAGATTTCATACTGCGTGAGCTACTATAGACATTCAGATAGATGACATTAAGTTCTACACGGACAGCAAAGTTTTTCTGTACATATACAATCAGACAAAGTGTTTCTATGTCTCTCAGCAACCCCGTAGAAAGAATCAGGAAATCCTCCAAGCCTGAACATTGCATTATGTTCCATCTGAAATTAATCCTACAGATCATGCTACCAGACCAGTGTCTGCAAGTGTCTTTGCAAATTCTTCTTGGTTAACAGGTCCTGAATTCCTACTGGATCATCAGAGGAAACTACAGCTGATGTCTTCAGTCTTCTAGATCCTGACAACGATCCATAGATTCGTTCTGAAATCAAAACCCTTGTCACCAGATCTGAACAAAGATTCATCTTAGGCTGTCAGCGATTCAAACATTTCTACAAGTGGACAAGGCTTGAACGTGCTACTGCAAGTTTAGTTCAAATTGCACACTGCTATCACACTAAGTCTAATGGTGCGGACTGTCAAGGTTGGCAAATATGCCAAAAATATTTCTCTGCAAAGACATTGCTAAAAACAATGCAACTGCCAAGCTGAATCCAATCATCGACAGTGATGTGACTATGGATCCAGAGTACCCAGCCATCCTTACTACAGCGACTCTTCTTGCTCAGGAGCTTGGAACCATTCCTGTTTCACCTGGAGACTTTTACAGTTGGAATTACATGAGTGCCCATAGTCTTCAGATACTAATGTTGCACCATGCACATCTAAGGATGGACATGTTTAAAAGTGCCTTTAAATCAAGCAAGAGACGTTCTAATTTTCATCACTCAGGAACTTTGCAAGTTTCACCATCCATGGAAAAGTGACCTGAATCTCTTTAAGGACAAGTCGCAGGTTACATTCATAGACTGCTGTGTTATAGTTTATGTTGCATATAAATGCATGTTTCTCTTATGTCTTTCAGGTCTTCAAGACATCAATGCAAATTGCATTCTGTTTATTTGCACTTGCATAACTACCGTTATGTTATTATATAGTGGTATTTACAATATCAGAAGGGGAGTGTGCTGTTACATCTATTGTATGAAAATGTGACACAATGCATAGTCGTGGTTAATATTTATATTACTGTGAATTGAGAATTTGCATTCTACATTATTTTCCTTAAGCCATTTGTTTATTGGCATTAGTATAGTTGGATCATATGCTGCCATCTTGTGGTTATGTTGGTTATTGCCCCATCCTTTTCTGTATTCCCTCCCCTTGTGTGTGATGTTTTTCCCTTCTTGTCCAAGTAGTCTTTTTAGTGTCATGGCTGCTTGTCTCATGGCCACATGTTTATATGCTCACATGGGTGAACACATTACCACCTTTTGACCTACAAATACCATCTTTCTAATCATCTGCTACATCCTGTTGTCTGCTGTAACTTGCTGCATTCAATAAAGATCTTCGTGGATGTCAAAGGTATTTGGTGAGTTCAGCTATCTGATAAGGATTGTCCGCGGTGATTATATCTGCTTATACAGGCCAGAAATAGAGGTCTCAGCAAGGGATAAATCACTAATACAATGGTTGGAGTCAGAATACTCTATAAAATGTAAAACATAATTCAGTTATACTATACATTATTAATATAATATTTACTTGTGTAGTTGTCTTCATTTTCTCTTTTTGTGTGATTGTTATCAGGCTGTAAATGCAGAAATGGGCACATTGGTAGAAAGCTGGACAGGTTCTACGGAAAAACAGCGTTATTCATATCGGGTGGAGAGAAATGTTAATACCACTTTTACGTGGGCATTTCAAAGGACAAATGTTCAGTCAGATGGGGTAAGTAATTGTAAACAGAAATTGTTCTGTACATCTCCTTTTGTATATTATGCTGTCCTGTATTGTTTCCACATTATACTTTATAATTGTAATGTAAATCTGTCGTCAAATTTTGTTTACTTACGTTTTGAGTATAGGTCTATTTTAAAATGTAAAAAGACTGCAGAGTTAGGCTATCGCGATGGTAGATGCCTCAAGGTGCATGCATAATAGCTCTGGCACCCCAAAACATAATATACTCTGCAGTGCACAGGTTCCATGGTTGCTACTGTGGTTTTGTCCCCTATTACTACTGGTCCTTACTGTGATGGGCTGCTGCATCACTATCCAAAAACACATGAGGTCAAGGGGAAGGAGCCAAGCAGTGATCACTGAAGCTTTGTAAATGCATTGCAGAGCACCATTGGTTTCACTGTGATCAGAGGCTATAGAGGGGAAATGAGCTAGGATGCAGGCAACTGGAGGCTTTATAAAACTTTTACTTTTTCTGCCTACAGGCCCATTTTAGGTGAGCTATAATATGACTGGAGTCCATCAGTTCTCTGTAATATGACATTAAACTTCCTGTTCCCCACAACTGCTATCTGCTCCGCTGCTTCTTTGAAGACCCCAATTGCTTCTCTTGAGTCTGAGGCTGCCACTGATGATGGTACTCCTGCAGAAGCGCCAAGGAGTTACATCATCCCTGGCATCCAGCTCTATTCTTGGCACCTGGGAGATGGTGAGAATGACCTGGGAGTGTACAGATGGGCAGTGCAGTATATACAGAGAATACAAATTGCTTAGGGAAAATAAGACTTTTTTTGGGCAGAAGAGACTTTGCATGTCTCTTCTGCCAAAAGACCCTACCTCCTAGCAAAGTTTTTTTTTGGAGTTTAGTTTAGAACACTCCGATTAACGTGGCAGCAGGTTCTACCATGATGATGATGTATTGGGACATTCCCATTTTTTTTTTTACAGCTATCTACAGACGGATCTGTCCAAAGATCTGTTCACCGGATTATGCAGCACCCGGCCACTGAGCATGGCAGTGGTCATATTCAGTGCGTGTGTCCTGATGTCTGTAGACAAGACCTCTACAGCACAGCCAGTATTCTATCCACAATTGTCACATTGTTCAATGCTTGGTAAACGGAGAGGGTGACATATCCCATACAGTTCTTATCGATTTCACACCTAGTGGTCAAACATTTTAGGGGGACCTCTCTATTAACCTAATGAATTAACTTGTACAAGGAAGGCAGGTGACTTGTATGTCGTTGGACTGTCACACTCTCCCTTTGTCCTCTCTACCATGGGACCCTCCGTGCTTTCATGCCAAATCCTTAGGGCCAGCCATGATTCATACATTACGATTGTGGGACTCCACCAAATTTTCAGGGAAACTTATCTCTCCATATCTTCCTTTACTAAAACTTTCCCTATCACTCCTATTTCCCCCCGAGTTGGGAAGCCTCACGTCAGTTCCAATGGTGGGATGTTCATGGTTTCTGTGATGTTTACTCTTTGCTGACTGCTAATGGGATTAAATTGTTTCAATCCCTCCGAAACTCATATATTTTATTCCCTTATGGGAACACTTTCAATATATGCAACAGCGACATTTTATATTTGGCTTGCGTCGACCTTATTCGCCACCTTACTCTTTAATATCTTTTGAGCGTAAATGTCGCTCCAACCCTTGTGGCCTGGATGATATCGTTGATCTATTCTTCTTTTGGCATCCTCCGCTAGTACACCTACCCGATTTGTACCAGACCCAATGGCAGGAGATATGGTTACCAATGGCGAAAGGTTCCAAAAATATTTTGATCCTAAAAAACTTATATATGGTCCTTTTTACTACCGTGTTTCCCCGAAAGTAAGACCTACCCCGAAAATAAGACCTAGTTCGGGGTAGGTCTTATATTACAGACATCCCTGAAGATAGCGCTAAGTCTTACCTTCGGGGTAGCTGCACATGTAATTCAATTTCACATGTGAAGACCGGCCGCAGCTCCCTCCCGCCCCCTCGCCCGTCCACCTACCCGCACGCTGTTGCTCTCTGGATGACATCAGAGCGGAGAGGCAGCTCCCTTCCGCCCCCGTACCAGACACGCCCCCTCGCCCGCCCACCTGTGTTTCTCCTTGTAATGATCAGAGCGGAGAGGCAGCTCCCTCCCGCCCCCCTGCCAGACACGCCCCCTCGCCCACCTGTCTGTTGCTCCCTGGACGGCAGAGCGGACAGCTGCAGCCAGGTAAGACATCCCCCGAAAATAAGACCTAGTGTCTTTTTTCGTGAAAAAAAAAAAATAAGACACTGTCTTATTTTCGGGGAAACACGGTAACAGTCCGGCACGTTTTAGTTAGTATTATCCTGGGCTATTCTCCATTATGTTTTTGTGGTTGCTTCTCCTCTGGTACGTTGGTACATATCTGGTGGTTGTGCCCTGTAGTTAGGTGATTATGGAGTAGTATCTACAATCTAATTAGATCCCTGCTCCATGTTGACCTGAGAAGGAACCCTTATGAAGCTTTACTTAACTAGCCTATTACCTCCTTCCCCAGAACAGCACATTTCTTAACTTCTTTTTTTAATGTTTACAGCCACCAAATTGATAAGTGCGAAATCTTGGAAGACACCTTTTTTGAGTTTTGAGGCAGTCAAACAAAAGTTGATACTAAAAATTGTTAACGTGAAAATCACAGCTATTTTAAATGACACATGCTAGATTCTTAGATGTTTGGCGACCTTGGATTTCTCAACCCTAGCATTTTTTGATTATATTGCGTTGACAATTTTTAATTCCGGATTTGAGCCTACCCCTGCGACTCTCCCTTTTTCTTTTCTGCCTTTAACCCCTTCATGATTGAGGCCTTTTTTTCATTTTTTTGTACCCATGTTATATTCCACATTTTAGGCCTAAAAATTACTTAAAACCCCCCAACATTATATATTTTCTGAATGCCAAGACCCTATAGAATAAAATGGTGGTAGTTGCAAATTTGTATGTTGCGCAATATTAGCGCAACTCCTTATTAAACCCCAATATTTAGTGAAAAATGTAATTAAATGCCCCAAAACACAACAAAATACCAATTTTTTAAAAGAAATATAAAAGATGAGGTTACAACGAGTAAAACGATACCCAACATGCCCAGGTTACAAATTGCGTGCATCCGTAAAACGGCGAAAAACCCCAGTACTCCGGGCCCGTAGGAGGGGCAACGGAGCCCGGGAAGCATGGCGGGGGCGGCCCCTTCTTCGGGACGCAGAAGCGATCTGGCGACAGGTAAGTCGCCAGGATCGCTTCTGTTGTAAAGCCGACAGTCGGCTCTACAAGTTTAAACAGAGTCCCGGCGCCAAAAGTCACCGGGAGTCTGTTTAAACAGCCCCGATGCTGGCGACGTACACTGTACGGCGTCAGTCACGAAGGGGTTAATCATCTCTCACCCACCCTCTTCTATTCTTCAAAGTCTTTCTTATTTTTTTACTTCTTTTTCCTTTTTATATTCTCATTCTTATCTATGATGTAATGGCTGTAGGGACCAACTGAGCATATACCTCAGGCAGTTAATGTTACCTAAGGTCCTAGTCTTGTTATATACACATTTGTTTCCTGTAGTTTTGATATGTTCTGTCGGAACACTGCCTATCATTTCCTGAGCAAGTTTGATTCTACGGTGTTATATTTTCAATTTGTATTACCTCTACTTTGTACTTCGACTTAGCCGATCCAACATCTGGATTGGCTGAGCCGAAGCTCCGGCAGCTCACTCGCTCCCGTTCGCCCCTATTCACATAGGTGCCGAACGGCAGTGAGTGAGTAGCCGAATGCCTCCGAGCGCCATTCAGCTCGGCTATTCTGCTTGGGACCTCCATGGTACCGAGCAGAATAGGAAATCAATAAAAAAATTTGGAGAAAAAAAGATTTAAAAAATGTAAATAAATGTTAAATCTAAAAAAATAAAGATTTAAAAAAAACAAAACAAAAAACTATTGGGCGGAGTTGGCAGTGACAGCTACGGTAGCTCTGCCTAGCTCTCCCCAACTGTTTCTATTGGCCAGCATCTGCTAGAGTCTTCTAGCAGGCCCCGGCCAATGACGTGACGTCACGACCGGCTCCGCCCAGTTGTCTTTGTTAAATGACAGTCCAGCGTCCCCAGGTCATTTGGGGCGCTGATCTGTCATACGGCTGATGCTTTGGCTAGCTTTGTGAATAGACCCCTAAATAAAAATGCGCTGACTCGAGTATAAGCCGAGGGGGGCACTTTTCACCCAAAAAAATGGGCTGAAAATCTCGGCTTATACTCGAGTATATACGGTAAGTTAATAGGAGTAAAACTATGACGAAAATACATTACCATTTTCTCTACTGGAGATTTAGTCGACAAAACTAAACTAAAACTAATACAATTCAGATGAATAACATACGACCAAAAACTAAAATATGACAAACTAAAATGGCATTTTAGCTTTAGTCGTATTTTAGTCATCTGAATTGTTTTAGTTTTAATTTTGTCGACTAAATCTCCAGTAGAGAAAATTGTAATGTATTTTCGTCATAGTTTTAGTCCTATTAACTTACTTTTTATTTAGTTTTCATCACTAAAAACATGCAGGTGACTAAAACTATGACTAACATTTTTAGTCGACGAAATTAACATGGTTGCCCACAATACTTGAAATCTAGTAAACTGTTTAACATTAATATTCATTCACTAAAAATAGGTAAATCTAGCATCACATTTTAAAGCCATTTATTATATGTGATATTTCTGTTAATGAATGACTCCTAACATACTGTGTTCACCTCTTCAGGGTCGGAAATATACTGCAGATATTGCAAAAATATATTCCATAAATGTTACTAATACTAAGGATGGGGTTGCATCTTGGTGTCAGCCCTGTGCCCAGGACAAAGATTCCCAATGCATCTCCTGCCCCCCTGGGCATTACATTGACAAGAAGACCATCAACTGCATCTCCTGCCCCCCTAACACTTACCTGCAATCACACTTGCCTTTTGGAAAGGAAACTTGTACAAAATGTGGACCTGGAACAAAAAGCAATGATGTAAGAGAAAATGCATACATGCATACATTTTGAAACTGTTGGTTAGCGGTATGTTAAAAAAAATGCTTACAAAGTACATGCTTATATTCAACAAGGTAACAATCTGTGAGTTGTTTCTACAAATCTGTGCCACATGTTCTTCTTCTCCTTTTTTTTTTTTTTTTTACAGGATACATTATTAACCACTTCAGTATTTTGAACATAAGAGATGCATTATAAAAAAAACACGTTTTTAGGATGCATCTCTTATGTCCACTTTTTCTCCCAATGCCGCTGCTCCTAACCCTGATCTTCCATCCGCCTCTGTCTTTTTTTAATTTATTTTTTTATGGTTCATATATAATTTAAAAATAGGTTATGTAAGGTTGTGCTAGTTTTAAATTGTCTTGAAATGTTATTATGGCAGTACCATCTATATTCATAAAATCCAGCCAAATGGAGCTGGCAGAAAAAAGGCACCATGTGAAAATATGGAAATAAGGGCTTGCCATGGCAGCAACACAAAGATATCCTTAGGCAGGGTTGGGACTGAATGAAAACCATTTTTACCTGGGCTAAAGGCTAGACACTAGATAAATGCTAGAAAGGCTCACACATCACAAAACGTGTACTTTCTCTGAAATACTCTGCATCTTACTGCATGTTGTCAGCAAGACTTGAAACATCTGAATAAATTAATATTTAAATAATAAATACTTTTGTCAATTTAAGTCAATTGCGTTGCCTTTACAAAAAAAATCATAATACATTTTTTTTCTGTTGTAAAGATTGAGACATAAGTAATGTCCCTTATATAATAATCTAATTTACTTTTTAGGCACACTCGCTCTGTTTTAATGATTGCAAAATGACAGTATCGTCAGGAGGAGAAAAACTAATGTATGATTTTACATCACTTTCAAATGTAACCACAATGATTGGGTCTCTCCATTTTACCACCAAAGGACTCAAATACTATCATCAGTTTAGTATAAGCCTCTGTGGGAACCAGGTTTGTATGATCTGCTGTAGTGTTTTTTTCCTTTTTTTAAGTAGGTTGTTAAAAGCCATCTGTGTGCCCCGAGTTCAGCTTTAAATTAAATAAATAAATTGAGCCCTATATTTCTATTCAGAATAGTCACTCACCAAACCAAGAATGTCATATCAGGAAAATAAAGTTTTCTGTGAAAAAACATTTTATGTCTCCAGGTGCCTAGTAAAGGTGCAAGTTACATTTTATTTTCAATGTATTTTCTATGTGTCACTATAGGCTTGTCAGCCGTTTGTAAAATCCTAGGTCAAAGTTATGTGCATTTTTCAGTAATTAAAAAAAAAAAAGGCTTCTAATGGTGTAAGCTTAACAAGAACCATAAAATAGCAATGCATCGCAACAACTATAACTACCACATGGTACTTGTGGAACTGGCACCAGGTAACCATTCAAAACCCCAATAACCTCCTTGTTCTTTCAAGTTTCTATATGTAGCTATACGGTAACTTACACAAATGTATGCAGACAATACAATTTATATCTGCAAACTATAATTAAAGTGGGAGGTTCTGAATTGCAACATTTAGTTAGTTGAAATGCTTTGTTTGCAATGTTTGACATTTTTAAGCATCATTTTTATTATATGAATTATCATTAATTCCCAAACCTGATATTCTGGTTACGCAAGGAAAAACGTAAGGGCAAAAAGGACTAAAAACATTGGTTACCTTTTTTATGTACTGCACATAGCAACCAGATATGTCAGTTTTGGAAAATAAAGGTAGTATAGACCTTCATTAATGATATTGTTCTCTTCTAACTAATGTATAGGTTTTAGGGTGGTCACTTAGAGCTTAGCAGAAAAATTTTTAAAATCCATATATCGGCTTATACATGAAATCTTTCAAAATGGAAGGGTAATCTTGATAAATGGAACATACTTTTTTTTTCTAAGCGGTTTTATTTTTTGTTCAATGTGTTGTCTTTACTAACCAACTGATTTATACAATTAAAGTGAATCTCACTTGATTCCTATAAAGTGCCTCAGTTAACAGTGCAGCCCAAGTATCTGTGTTCATCTTCAAAATGATCTATGTGCCATTAAGGAGCCCCCTTTTGCTTCTTAGTTTGATTTCTTGTTTCAAATGCCAACACTTTATCGACCATTTGATAGTTGAAGGAGAGAAGGTAGGGTTAAAAATTAGTAGGGAATGGGACACCTTCACCTTAAGTTAGTTACAAGAAAGGCTCTATGTTCAGCCTGGGCTAGGGATGTTAAGGGGCTCCACAGAGTAACAAGGATCAACCTGAAGACTAACACAGGTACGTGTGGTTTTAGCACTGTTCTTTTGATGTCTTCAAAAGATTCACTTTTAACTAGTGAAGAATGGAACATTTAGTTGTATCTGCTCTAATCTTGTAAGATACCTAAAGACATTGGAGGATCACTGCTTGGTGCTGTTAATTGTTTTAAGTACAGGCGATAGCTGGCAAGGGTACCCTCAGGTTTGAACAGACCGTTTTAGCTGATGGATCTTTGATTTGAATTGCGTCTAATCCTTGGCTCCTGACCTTGGCTAATGCATTTAATCCTGCAATTGTTATATCTACAGAAATAGGGGCTTAGCCAAATTTCTTTGGGACTCAATGCAAAATATAATGAAGGGCCTCATAAAAACTTTTTTGTTAGCAACACAAAAATAATAATAGAAACATGTGAGCATCGGCCTGTATGTTACAAAATTAGCACTTCATGGTGTTGCTTTGGTGTACTTAGGGGGGTTCATATCAATGGGCAGTCAAGTCAAACGCTGTTTTTCCATTCAAATGTATGCAGCTGCTTTTGAATGGAAAACCAAGTGTTTGACATGGTTACATTGATCTGCTTTGCCTGCAGGTCAAATGCACCTCAATAAGATATGTTGCATCCAAAGGAAAACAACGCAAAGAAGGCCAAACACAAGTCAAAAAGCCATGTATACTGCTCAGTTAAAGCAAACAGTATTTTTCTGGCCTGTGTTTTGAGATGCATTCCAAACATGCGCCAAACACAGGAAAACAAAGACTGTCGACATTAGCACTTAAGTTAAACTCTAGGGAGATATAAATGATGCAGCTTCAAATTCATGAATGCAACCCACAGGGTAGTTTTTAATTTGGTGCATTTAAATACACTACAAGACGCATTTCATGTATGTTTTTACTTGTGATTTTCTCTTTTTCGTTAATTTCCTCCCTGTAAACTTGTTAACCCCTTCATGACTGAGCTTGTTTTTAGTTTATGTTTGTAAATGACTGAAGCACTTTTGACATTTTTGCTGTGTGATTCTTCCGTGTCAGTAATATACTTTCTTAAGGTGGCCATACACTTTACAACCATCGCAAGACCTTAGTCTTGCGATGGATGTAAAGTAATTAAAAAAACGTACGATCTGCCCATCTTGGACAGACAGATCGTACTTTGCGATCATCGCAAGCCCGCCCCCCTGAGGGGCGCGTTTCCGATGACCACAATGCTGAACAGGCAGTGTGCGCGTGCGCACATGGGCCTGTTCGGCATTTGTCTCCCGAGCACCGTTCAAACCAGCCGAAAATCGTACGAAATTCGGCTGGTTTTCTAGCGTGCTCCTTAGACAAAAGACGTGCGACTGTACAGTAGAAACAGTCGCACGTCTTCATTCACACTGCACGATTCTCGTACGATCGCGCGATTTCCCGCGATTCTCGTACAAGAATCGTGCAGTGTATGGGCACCTTTACAAAGTGCACCCACACATATATTATATATTGTTTTTTAGAGGACAGATAGGGCTATATATTTATATCACATTTGTGTACCTAATCCCTCACTTAGGACATATAAAATATAAAAAAGAGGAAAAACCATTACAAAAAACACGTTTTTCCCAGTTTTGATTTGTAGTATTTTTTAGAAAAATAGCACAGCTAAGAAAATGCAATAAATACATTCATGTATTTGTCCTTTTTATTTGCAAAAACCTCACAGCCCTAGGATTTTAGATTTTTTTTTTTTTTTCTGTACTTCTCAGCCTAAAACTAAAACCTAACATTTTAATATTTTTTTCTCTTAACCAGTTGCCGTCCGCCCGTTGAAAAAAAATGGACGGACGGCACTGCTGCATTAGCGGGTTGCCGTCTCCAGATGGCATTGTTTTTCTGCTCGCATGCGCCCCCTAGCGCACGGGCAGAAAAGACCCTGTAAATATAAATATATATATATAAATACAAAAAAGTTAAAAGAATAAAAGTCACATATAAAAAAAGTTTAAAAAAAACACCCCAAAATGTTTAAGTCCCCCGCCCCCACGTTTACGCAGATATAAACGTAAATACGTGTCCGGTGCACCAGCGCGCGAAAACGACAATTGCGCTACAAACGTTACGTATCGCCGCGAATGTCGCAGTGAGAGCAATCATTTTAGGGCCATCAATCACTGATAACACTAAAGCCCCGTTCACATTGAGCGATTTTATCGTGCGGTAATTCCCGCGCGATATCGCGCTCCAATGCATTTCAATGGGGCAAAGGGTCCTGCTGTCGCGGGTCGTGTGTCGCTACAGCAGGACCCTTTTTTGGAGCGGATTTAGCCGCGATTCAAGCTTGCTCAATGCAAGCTTGAAGGCGTTATCGCGCGGCAAAGCTCGTGATATCGTGCAATATGCAAATCGCGCGACAAACGGGCGATTTACATATCGGGCAGTGGGAACGGGGCCTTAACTGATAAGCGGTAAAAGCTTTTAAAGCGTCGCCTATGGCCAATTTTGGGTATTATAATTTTTTTGAGGTTTCGCACGCGCACGCAATTTTAAGGCTTGACATGTCTGGTATCTTTTTACCCGACGTGACCCCGTCTTTTTTATATTTTACCAAAAAATTGGGTAATAATAAATGTTTTATCATTTAATATAGGGGAAACTTTTTTTTTTATTTATTTCTGTAATTTTTCCTTTAATATAGTAAAAAATAAAACCGCAGTGGTGATTAAATACCACCAAAAGAAAGCTCTTTGTGTCCCTAAAAAAATGGTATAAAATTGATTTCAGTACATGACGGAATAAATGTCAGTCAAAGTACCGCAGCGCTGAATACTGAAAAATGGCCTGGATGGGAAGGGGGTCTAACACTGCGGACTTCAAGTGGTTAAAGCTAAAAGTGGTTACCTGGCATACAATGTCACTGTCACTAAGTGTCACACTTAGTGACAGTACATTGAACATCACTGTCATGAGTGGGTTAAATTAAAAAAATTAACTCCTTAGGGCGAAAAAGAAATCTGCAGCTCAGCTGCAGATTTTCATTGTAATGGGTTCATTTTTATATTAATGATAGTATAAAAATATATTTAAATATATAATTTGTTACATTTATTATTATTATTTATTATTTTTTTTACACTTTTCATTTTTTACATTTTTTTATTTTAATTATATCAAGCAGTCATTGTGAATTAATCTCACTATTACGCTTGATCATGTAATTAATTCATTTTTGGTTATTATTAGGCTGCTTCAAACTTAAGAACGGCCAATAATAACCTTAGTGACACTGATCCTGCTGCATTTTAGGATCAGATGTCACTGAGGGCTTGTTCACACCAATTGCGGTGTGTTCCAGAGCGGTAGCTGCTGGAATATACTGCAATCGCTCACTAAACTTCCCCCTTCGTTCTAGGGCGGGAGGGGGCATGGCGGTGCATTGAAGCCCACAGTGTGATCGGACGTAGAACATGCAGCATTTTTTGCGTTTGCAGTGGACCAAAACGCAGGCAATGTTTTGCCACGTGTCCAATCGCACTGCGAGAGCCCGCAGAATCCTGCCCCAGAATGCAGTGGGAAGTTTTGTCAGCGATTGCGGTGCTTTCCAGCAGCTGCCGCTCTGGAACGCACCCCAATTGGTGTGAACAAGCCCTGAAGGTTTTCTTATCGTTCCAACAACGATCAGAAACCTGCAACATTCTTTCAGCAATAGAAACATGTATCTAAATGTTTTTATTTCTAAAAGTTTAGGAAAAAAATGCTGGTATACATCAGAATTTCCAGATCTATACCACCTGTCAGTGACAGCTTGAGCTGTTAAATGCGGCTTTGCTCTCTTCCTGAAAGGGATTGGGTGTCTGAAAAAGCTTAACTCTTTCATTAATGGATGCCTCAACACTGAAGCATCCATTAATATATGGAAACCGCTGAATCTCAGTAATTACCAGCAGTACAGAGCCCCAAATGGCTCATCACATACAGTGTACGTGAGCAGTCATTTGGGCACCTTGTGGCGGGACATACAGTGTACGTCTCCCGTCACAAAGGGGTTAAATCATGCTCATGTGACTGAAAGTGCACTTGTTAATACACATATTCCCTTTTAATGTGCTTTCAATGTGTTACTACAACTATAATGTTACAATAACTTTAATGGGCTACTATGACTATTAGGCTTTGCGATTTTTAGTTTTGGAAAGATTCGTTATTCTGACTAATTTTTGTTATTCGGAAATTCGGATATATCCGAATCTCCGAATTACAGAAATGACGAATGCAAACGAATCCGAATTTCCTATATCAAAAATTTTGGACGTCACAACTCGCTCCACCCATTTGACATTATCAACTGTCAGATAACACAATAGCATTCGGGAGTTCCTGAATACCATTCTGGTCTGTGAGCCGAGGTGTCACATGAATAGTATTATGACACCTAGCCTCCCAGACCCGAATGGCATTCAGGAGCTCATGAATAACATTCGGGAGCTCCCGATTGCTATTATGTTATTTGACAGCTCAGAATGTCAAATGGGCAGAATGAGCCCTGTGATGTCACAGCTCGCTCCACCCATCTGTTTACATTCTGGCCAGAGATGTAATTTTGCGTTGAGTCTTCGTCGGGTTTGGACGGGTCGTTGCGCGGCGGGACTTGTTTTATTTTGGCGAGTAGGAGGGCGTTGGTTATCGTGATTTACGCTGGATTACATTGATGGAACCATTTTTTTTAAATAAAGGAATTGTCAAAAGCTGTCTCTTTTGTTTTTGTTTTTTAAAAGTGTTTTGTGTTTTATTTACATCTTAATTTAACCCCTTAGTGAATGAGTGGGGGTACAAGTACCCCTTACTCATTCACAAGAGATTGTGGCAGCATCTGGGTTCCCTCTTAATTAAAGGCTACCCCAATGCAAATAAGCCCTCCTGCACGCAGACTCCCACAACCACTGGGTCAGCGTTGTGGGGAAGAGGCCCATGTCCCCATCGGCATGGGGACACCCTCCCAATGCCGAGGGACCTAAAAGGTCTTGTATGAATCGGGAGGGGAACCTTGTGCTTTTTTTTTGTAATTTTTTTATTTCTCTTTGTCTAATGTCACAAACATTATTTGTCTGATGTGCAACGAACATTCGCCCGCAATGAAAATTCATACATATTACTGCTAGCAAATGTCATCCGGATCCCGAAACATATTGACTTTCGTACCCAAATCCCGGAAAACTAAACAAGGAAAAATCTGAATGAAAACTAAACAAAACAAATTTCTAATGACTATAATATGCTCTCATATATGCATAAACAGCTATCAGTGCTAGGTGTCATGGGCCTCGTAGCACAGCTATCAGTGCTAGGTGTCATGGGCCTCGTAGCAGTTGCCATGTCTGTTGCACTGCTAATTTTAAAAAAAGTTTTATTTCCAGTCGTATAAACAGATCAGTAAACCAGTTGGCACCACTGCCAGCTAGATGTAACTGATATTTCTAGACCGTTTTCCCACTGAGCATGATACAGATTCTGTTTAAACTCATTTTGTCATGTTGTTATGTGTATGCAAGCCAAGGAGCATGCATAACCTTAAGTATCATCCTGTAAGTGTTTGACTTCTTTTTACAGGGGAAAAAACTTGCTACATGTGGGCAAAATGCATCAGATGCTTGGCGATCAGATATGGAGTCATATCGTGCTGTTGCTTCTTATGTTTGCCAGTCAATGTTTGTGCCATCGGATACACTTAGTCACAAGACAATGATGTCTTCACAACCAATAAAACTTGCTGATGAGCTGATAGGTGAGTTTGGGGTCAAATGCTACTATTTTTTTTAAATTGCTACGTAGCTGAATACAGGAGAAATGGAAAAAGCTTTCACTACACTGTTCTACATCTCTATATTTCTATTGCTAGGTGTCACAACAGAAACAACTCTAGATAAAATCTCCTCTCCAGTGGATCTTTTTCCTGGAGAAAATATAGCCATGAAAGACATCATATTCTATTACAGGTAAAAAATCTGCAATAAAATGTCAAATATATTGTTCAGTAACATGCAGAAGCAGTGGCGGACCTAAGGAACAAAGGGCCCTGGTGCAAGAGCCCTGGTTGCCCCCCCCCCCAAAAAAACCCCCCCCCACAAACACAGCACTCTCCTCCCGCAGCGCTCGGCCGGCTGTCACTTTCTCTCCTCCCCGCTGGGACACAGAGCAGCGCCCAGCGGGGAGGAAAGAAAGCAGGGATTCGCTGCTGTATCAGCAGAAAAATTGCACTTTTGGCATTAAGCCAAAAGTGCCATTTCCGGCCAATATCTTTTGGGGGCCGATATATAGAATGGCACAGGATGTATCCTGCGGCCGGCGGGCCCTCCATCTCTGCACCGGGAGTGTCGGATGAACGGATGATCCAACACTCTCAGCGCAGAGATGGGGTGGCCGCTGGGTACCGATCCGGAGCTGGGAATGTGCTGGGCCCCCCACAGGCCGAGGCCCTGGTGCGCCCCCACCGGCGGTAGTTCTGCCACTGTGCAGAAGTGGATTAACAAGATGTGCTTATATCATTTGGAACCAAAATCAATAGATGTAAAGTAAACTCTAGTTCAAACCTTTTTTTTGCTTTTTATATTGAAGGTTTAGGCTAGTAGTTGCGATAAACAGAGCTTCATGCTTACCTTCTATGTGGGGGCTATATACTGTGTGTATGTGTGTATATATGTATATGTGTGTGTGTGTATATATATATTTAGCTGCCCCCATTAGCATTTTTAACCGCCCTTCTTTAGTGCCCATAAAGCTGATATCCACTCCAGAAACATAATGCTGAAGAACTTTTATTAACATCTTCACACTGGAGAGAGAGGGTGTTAGAGATTCTAGACATCCAGGGTATAACAGACATAGGCTCCAGGCTTACTGGACCCCTTTTAAGCAATATGGGTAACAGATGAGCAGGGATGAGCACAATTCCTTGACAGGAGATACACTAGACTTGCTCCTGGGGTCCACTATGTTCCTGGTACCTTCAGCAGCCAACAGCTTTCCTGGTTCTCTTCCCTTAGCAACAGCACAGGCCTCCTCCATAATTGAGGCCTAGGGTAACACTTCCCGCACTCCAGTATCTCCACCCCCAGGCTTCAGGCCTAGCCTGGGGGGAGGGAGGTGGCTGGACAGCAGCCAGCCCTGGACTAATCCATGGCTGGCAGAAGAGTAGACTCAACACATGGCAATTCCCTCCAGTATGTGTACCCTATCCCAGCATGCAACACTGGTTTAGAGAAACCCAGTGATTGGCTGGTGAACTGCACATACACGCACATTGCCCCTTATTGACCGTCCCACACTATAGCAGAGTCTCACTCCACGCAGGTAGGTACAGTCCATGCTAGACACCTGGAATTACCCAAATAAATGCCAACTATAATCCAACCAGGCTAACTACAGCCCTGCCAAGCACTACATTTCTAGTAGTCACCTCACAAAAGGTGATGGGGACTACATATATAAATATATATATATTTGGATAATCCAACAGTTACTTGTTACAGAGGCATTTATCTCTTTTGTGGATTCTTCATCGTGACAGTTCTGCTATATATTAGATTCTAATTTTGTAATTAAAATAAATAGCTTTATATACGTAGGGACATATTTATAAATCTTCAGTCCAGCGTATAACTGAATGAATACCGTTTGCACAGCATTACTGCCACTAGATGGAGGCAAAGAGCATAGGAAATTTCTATGCTCCTCAGATCCATCTATGTTCTCTATGGTAATGCTATGCGGACAGAGTTTAACAGGTTTAACAGCTGTGCTCTGGATGAAAGATTTATAACTTGGCACCTTAGTGTCATCCTTGTGGCAGCCATGGCCTGTGTGTAATGTTTTCTATTTGTTTGCAAATACTAGCTTGAAAGTAGGAGTCCAGACAAAACTACTCTGGCTGAAATTCTTCTTTAAAGCACAGCGTTTGACCAGACAGTAGCTATTCTAAAGACTCCAGAGTAAGTTTATTCTTTCTCCCCCCCTCTTAATAATCTTACAGGTCAAAAGAGGTTACACAGTCCTGTATTTCTGGACGGTTTACCATTATCCGCCTTCGTTGTAATCCTCTGATTGCTGGCACACAAAATATATCTATGCCAAGGTAAGAAATGTTCTTTGTTTAGTTACAGTTTCTGAACAATACACATTTGAAACCAACTGCACACATTAAACATTTTTTACACATTATTTATTAAAGCTATGTAGTTTTATGTGGGTGTTTTTTATTTTTTTTTAAAAATCTTTCAAAATTTAAACAGAACATAAACTTTTTTAAAGTGAACTAATAAAAACTTTTTTTTAACTTCAAGTTAAAAAGAATAGGTGAAAAACATTTTAAAATTATATAATCTTTTATGAAAGCTGAACTCCGGACAGGTAGCTATATATAGTGTTGAAATATATATATCGTATATGTAAACCCTTATCCGCCAAAGGATTCATCATTCTGTTCAACCAACCTTGAGATCTATGCACTTAATAAAATACTAAGAATTGTTTTTAAGGGCAACTTTCATATACCCAACATAAAACAGATGTTATGCTAATAGCCTTTTTATTCTTACTATAAGCAAAATCTGATAATGGATTACCATAACCACAATGCAAGTATACCCAAAAAAATACATTCCATTCCTATAGACAAAATATTGAAGACTAAAATCTACTAAATACTTTAAAAATGTCCAATAAAATTTCCCTATAAAGGGAAAACCCGGAAAGCAATGTCCACATAACATCCCACAACAATTTGAGAGAGGAGTGATCAGACACTAAAAAATATATACAAAGCAGAACTCAGCACACTGGCATAGTGCATTCTTTCCTGATGTCTGGTCTCTTACTGCTGGCCACCAGCTGTACTGCTCTTGGATTGTTATTGTGTGCCCAAGATCATTAGAGCAATCCTCTACACTATGCCAGTGCACTGTTTCTTCTATATTGTGATCCAGGCACCCTTGCCAGACTACACACCCAGGACTAAGGTAATAGGCAACAGAGCCCTTTTGGATTACAGTGCTGTCTCTCCCTCACTGACTGTGAATACTGCTGTTCCTGGGATTGCCACCTTTTCTTCAAGTGAAACCCGAACACTCTAGTGCCCCGCGTGGCCATTTTTTGGGAGAATATAGAGGAGAGAGTGAGGAGAGGCAGCCATGAGAAAGAGTAAGGAGACCGTCTATAGAGGACTACAAATCCCAGCAATACATTATAGAGCAATAAAAAATATGAAGCTACATACACTGTGTTCCGGGGTGGTGCCCTAATGTCTCCAGGGTCTTAGGTGGCCTGTGTGGGTTTTCACCAGGGATGTGTGGGCTCTCAGGGGGACTTTGCAGGCTCTCAGGTGGGCTCCGCGGGTTCTCAGTTGAGTTGTACGGGCTCTCAGGTGGCCTATGCGGGTTTTCACCAGGGCTGTGTGGGCTCTCAGGTGGACTCTGACGGCTCCCAGGGGGATTTTGTGGGCTCTCAGGTGGCTGTGTAGGTTCTCATGTGGACTATGCAGTGTCTCACAAAGGGTCCAGGGGACTACAAATCCCAGCAGTACCCATGTCTAAATGAATGTTACCATGTTACACAGCATTCACACCAAACCATTCCCAGCATACTGTAGTCCTCTCTATACAGATAGAAATCTATCAATGTGACAACAAAGCAAGCTGATCAAAGTATAATGTGAACTGAATTCCAATGGTAGTAGGACAGTTCTATTATGGCATCATCATCACACATGACAGCTTCTGGAGAAGAGCTGCACTATGGGGATCGTCAGGGAAGCAGTGTTGAATGGGTTAACCAACTGCTTCCCCATGTGATTAGCAATGGCAACAGGTACAGTGTTACACATTCCATCATGTAATGAATTAAATGTGTGCTGGAGAGGACTAGATAAATGCATTTACCTCTAAAGGGTGGAGTTCCTCTGATCAGAAAAGGTAGCAATCCCTTATTGTTGTATATCTGCAGGGCTTGTCTTTTAAGGTGCCCAAACATGTGGAATTGGGTGATATATGCAGTGCAAGTTTATATTTAATAAACTAGCAAAGGACACAATCTAACAATTTTCCACCCCAATAGAAGTCCAGATGGCAAGCTCTAGCGTGTGATCATTCTAGGTCATACACAAAGATAACATTGTAATTGAATCCTGCCAATCCCATGGTTTTGTTTATGTATTAATCTTGAAAGTGTTTGCTTCAGTGATTTCATTTAAATTCTACCTAATAGTGTATGCACAATGTATGCTACATAAGAGGCATGCTTCTGCTGATAACTGTCACAGTTGTCATTGTGCTTTCAACTTCTTTCAGCTGAACTTTCAAGCCCTCGAATGGCTGGTGTCATAGCTGATCACATGTTCAGCATCATGGAAACTGGAGATCTATACAAAGGCTCCGATGGTGCCATCATCCGCTACAAAAGTATAGGAGAGTTTGGTCCTGCTTTAAAGGGGAAGTATTGGGAGAGTAAAATGTACTCTTCCTAAAATTTAGAGCCAGAATCTGACACTGCATTTGTTACATGACAACTCTATATATCATGAGCTGAGCGATCATGAACCGCTGATCGGTCAGCTCACGGTCTTCTTCCTGCAAAGAGCAGTGACTGTCTGTCACTGTCCCCTACAGGGATTCCCCCTCCCCTCTCTGTTCTTCCTGTTCTCCCTGGAGGGACAGACAGAGGAGGGGGCAGGTGCACAGCTGGCTCTGGCTCTATAGAGGGAGAGCCAGCTGTTAATCAGTCAGCAGGGTGGATCCCAAAAATATTGTTGGGATCCTTCTCAGCTGCAGCGTGGCTCTGTGTTGCATATAGGGCGCAGTAACCCACTAGATAATGACTTTGGGTCACGAGTACATTAGTAAATGTACTCCTTTGACCCAAAAGACAACGTTTGGTTTTAGTTCTGTTTTAACATTTGGACCGTTTTTCAGCATTGGTGTTTGACATTGTAGTAACTGATTTTTTTTTTTAGCATATCGCTTATTCGAAAGAAAAACGTGATGCAAATAAAATAAAGCACATTTTCTCTTTCAGTAAATGCCCAGAGGGAACCTGTGACGGCTGTGTATTTCATTTCCTGTGGGAGACAGAAAAGGCGTGTCCTCTTTGTACTGTCAATGATTACCATATTATAACAAGTGTGTGCCAGCATGGAATCCAGGTATCTGTCATCAAACTCTTCTACTATGTACATTTTTTAAATCCCTATACAGAATCTTATTTTAGCATTACTTTGTGAAGGTTATTGGTTACAGATGTACTAATAGTTTTTTTGTTTTTCTCCCGTGTGAGCCTAAATTGTGGGCCAATTTGTTGGAAGTGATTTTTAAATCCAACAAACTGCTTGCTGTTTATAGAACTAAGCATGGCCACCAATTGATCTATTCAGAATGAATAAGGGAGTGACACTTGTGTGTCACGTGTGTAAAAGGAACTGTACTGAAGTTGTTACATATATTTGTTTAATGTCTCATCTGCCTTTTATTTGTACTTGAAAAATGGCTATCATTTAGTTAAGAGTATTTTTATATGGTTTTACAGTGTCTCTGGTGTGAGAATGGGTTCCATTGAAATAAAAGGGTGGGGTCTTCGCATACATATAAGCTATCTCATGTTTAGGTACATTTATGTATACTTGATGGCGGTTTTGTTGTCACCAAGCAGGACTGAAATATAGTGAATAAGACTACCGACCTGGAAACATCTTTAAGGCTCTGTGGCATAAGAGATCTAAAACTAATAAATATATTAAAGCGGGACACCAGGCATGCTCTTTTTTGCAAATTTACATATGTCCAGGTTGGCTAGTGGTAAGTATCAATCTCTAAAATCTGGAGGGCTTCTATGGGTGCTGAAAATCACTGTAGCAGTTAGAGCTACATACAATAATAGCAGTGATCTTCTGAGTGCCGCCATTCATAGAATGCCTTGTATTTTTTAAATTTAAACAAGGCATTCTCTGATTGGACGAGGTGAAGATAGCGATGTCATCCATTCCTCCTCTCCACCTTGTCAAATCAGAGAATGCCTTGTATTCACTCAAGAAATACGTGGCATTCTCTGAATGGCAGAGGTGCTGAGCAAGTGACTCCCTGTGTTCAGTGTGTAGAGGAGAAGCTGCACCTGGATGATCACGGCTATCATTGTATGTAGCACTGACTACTAAAATGATTTTTAGTATCCCCAGCGGTGACCGGGATAGCAGATATATGAATATTTACATCAAGCCAAGCTGGACCAACGTAGGTTTTGCAAAAAGATAATTCCTGGAGTTATGCTTGCAAAAGGGTAGGTGGATATGCAGTTTACTGCAACAAGCACATGCTGTATAAATGTCCATTAACCGCTTGTACACTATAATGCTTTGTTTTTCAGAGGACAACTGCATTGTGGCATATGCCACGGCTGTGTGTTGGTGGTGTGAAGCTTCCAGAACCGACTGTCAGTATTTGTAAGACAGAAGATTTCTGGCTGAAAGTGGGAGTGACTGGTGGTATTTGCTCTGCACTGATACTTACAGCACTTACTGCTTACTTTTGGCAGAAGAATCGAAAGTAAGAATTTCCCATTCATGTACCTACTGTTCTTCTTCTTGAGTATGTTTGTTTCTTTTTTACTACACATCTGCTCTTTAAGGCCCATCCATATCACTGCAATGTGGAAATTCACTTTGAATGGCATCCCAAAGCAGTGCACTACAATGCATAGTGCCAGAACCCCTGGCAAATGAATTACACAATTGAAATACAAATGTGGGATCTTATTTACCTGCCAAAGGGCAATCATCCGGGTTTGTGATCCAAGCACTCGTGTCAGTCCTTGCTATTCACTGTAGCAGCAACCAGTGCCAGGACTAGGTTCTGTGGCACCCACGGTGAAGATGTCAATGTGCGTCCCTACGTGCCTAGCTGAAATGGATCTTGCTTGAATTGACAGCCAAAGTCTGTGGGCACTAGGCTTGCAACCATTTTCTCCATGGAAAACTGGATGCAGAGAGGGGCAACACAGTGTGATTTGGTCATGAGCATCATGAAACGGAGCCAGTTTTCATTAGCATAATAGCTTACATTTTGTTTTTCCATCTGGGAATTAATGCAGCTTATAATTCAATCTGTGCCTTTTCTAAATACACTTAAAAGAGAACTATGGGGTAACCTTTTTATCCCATAGTTCTCTTTAGGGTCACAGGAGGACGTCTGTATATGACCCAAAACTCTGAGAGCCCCGCAGCTGGGACAGATCCCAAAAAAACTGTCGAGATCCATCCAGCTGGCTGACAGTGGGCTCTGCCTATCTAGAGCCCACTGTCAATCTAAAAGTATATTTGCAGTCAAATTTGAGAAAACCCTACTATGTTTGTTACGTGTTCACAATAGTGCATGCACTATTTTTTGCGATGGCAATGCCACACCTCCTCCCACCCCAGAATGCAGGGAGGCTTTAATTATGCGATCTAGTGCATTCTGGTCACTAACTGTGCCGGAATGCACTGGATGTGGTGTGAACGGGTCCTAAACAGAAGGCATTTACACCAGGCTCTTCCATACCATTTTTATTTTTTTATCTTCTTTAAATATTCAAGTTCTTTGTAAACTTATTGGTAGTATGAATGTATAGCACATGTGCAGGGGTATGGAATATATAGTGCAACATACAGTATTTGAGGCAAGAAGCATATAGAACAGGGTAGAAATTAGGGATGCACCGATACTAGTATAGGTATTGGTGCCGATACTGAGCATTTTGTATTCGCCCAAATGCTCCGATGCCTAGCCCAATACCCAAACTTGCAGTTTTAGGAAGCTGGGCAGCGAGTCATTACATGCTGCCCAGCTTTCTAATTGGCCAGGAAGCCGGCTCCATGCTTCCTTGTCACTTGGTGATGAGGGATCATGGAGCCGGCTGAGACATGTAATGACTCATCGCCTAGCTTCCTGATTGGAAGCTGGCCAATCAGCAAGCTGGATGGCGAGTCATTACCCACCCCCTGGCCTCCTGATTGGCCAGAAACCCGTCTCCATGCTTTTTCTACACCTGGTGACAAGGGAGCATGGAGACTGCTTCTGGGCTAATCTGGAAACCGGGTAGCGAGTCTTTACACGCCGCCCAGCTACCTGGCTAATCCAGGAAGCCAGGTGGCAAGTGATTACACGCCACCTAGCCTCCTTAATGGACTTCCGGTATTGGTATTCGGTGTCGGCAAACACGGGTTACCAAAAATATCGGTACTTTGTTCTCGATACGAAAAAAAACGGTATCGGTGCATCCCTAGTAGAAATTGCAGTGGTCCAGATTATGTAACGTACAGTAGACCAGTGCCGAAACTGGGGGTGGGGGGCTTGCATGTGCCCCAGGCGCCACATTGGGGGGAAGGGACGCCAGCGGCAGGACCAGTGATGGACCAAAGTCCGGCGCTGCCGCAGACTTGATCGCTCACACAGCTCTCCCCTCTTGGCTGCTCTGTAGCTAGTGACTGAGGAGGAGAAGAATTAGTTTGGCTGTCTGCCCGCTTCACTATTCGGGCTCCTCCGTGGCCACCTGCAGCTTCCTCCGCCCACCTCAGTTGCCATAGGCAGGGAGGAAGAATGCAGAGCTACCATTGGCAGGCTTTATATTTTTTGAAGCGTGGGACCTGAAGAAGGCACAATGAGGCTGCTGGAGGCTTCATCTCGGTGCATGGAGGCAACATTGCTGCACCGTCCCCCCTCCTACCAGGAGAGAAAGTGGGCTCCTGAATGCATTGCTGTATAATGTATTGCTTGGATTTGTAGTCTTTTAAAGCTGATGGTTTTCTGCAATGCAGTATAATGTATTGCTGGGATTTGTAGTCAGACTACAGCTTGGAGTCGCCACTGGGCCCTTGCACTCCACCACTGTCCTAAAATCCTGTGTAGTAGACTACATACCTGTGTAATACACTACATACACAGGTATGTAGTGTAATACATAGGTATGCAGTGCATTACACAGGTGCTGTGGTTCGCCTATGTACGGAATTGGCTGTATTGTGCCGGTGTTGCTGGAGTACTCTGAGCACCATTTCGGGAGCACTGACCTGTACACCGTGCTTGGGGTGCGGAGGACTGCTGGGGAGGCAGAGATCCACTGAGGATATCATAAGCTTTCTCTGTAGCAATATAACAATACAATATATTGTTGCAAGGCTTGTATTCTGGTTGTTGCAAAGCTTGTGTCAACTGTAGCCCTCCTGTACACCGTTGACCTCTGCACTGTGCGTTACATCACTGACCTCTGTGTACTGTGCGTTCGGGTCCTCTATCAGGGGGGTACAGCCGATACTCATGTGAGGGGCCTGGGGCCCAAGGCATACATGGGTATTGGCCATCCAAGGGGCAGCATGGCAGAGGGAGGTGGTGCAGGCGGCATGGCAGAGAGAGAAGGTGGAGGCGGCTAGGCCCCAACAGAGCCCGACCGGCGGCGGAAGAGGCCAGGACCCCAGCAGCGCCAGTCTGGCTGCGGAAGAGGCCGGGCTCCAGCAGTGATGTGCCGGTAGTTGAGGAGGCTGGGCCATCAGCTAGAGAGGACAGCTAGTCCTCTCTAGCTGATGGTGGTATTCTGCATTGCTGTATAATGTATTGCCAAGATTTGTAGCCCCTATACAGCTTGGTGTCAGTGGCAGAACTACCAGGGGTGCAGCGTTTACAGCTGGGAACGGGCCCTGGCACTCTACCACTGTCCTAAAATCATAAGTTTTGTATTGTTTTAGAAATACTGTCACATGGCACTAAAAAAAACTATCGGTAATTGGTATCAGTGAGTACTTAAGGAAGAGAATCGCTTCTTGTACTCGGTCTGGAAAAAATGGTATTGTTGCATCCCTAGTAAGATCATGTGGTATGATCTCTCTCTCTCACCCAGGATGTCTTTTATATTTCTGTATATATTTTTGCAGAACAACCACAAGTATGCTGTTGGACACATTTTACAGTAGTGTATTCGCTGATAAAACGTAAAAAGGATATTAAAAAAAAAAACATAAAAATTATTAAAAAGGATATTACCACTTGAGTGCCATGATTTTCAAGTTCTTAGCATAGGGAGGTCTGTAATCTCATATATTTCAAAGCCCTTTATTTCAAATCTTCTTACTCTATCATGCAGTGTTATTTTCTTTTTTTCCCTAGTTTGGAGTACAAGTATTCACGGCTGATGATGAATGCCCCATCTAAGGATGGAGAGCTACCAGCAGCTGACAGCTGTGCCATAATGGAGGGGGAGGATGTCGAAGATGAACTGGTATTCAATAATCGTCATTCTATACTGCGCAAGTTTATGTCGCTGTCTAGGAAGGTGTGTGTGGTTTATTTTTATTATATACTCTTTTATTCCTTCTACTTTCTATTCCTTGCCGTTCACCTATTTCTGCCATTTCAGAATAGTAAGGCATTTTTTCCACATATGTACCTTAACGACTTATGATCGTTTATTTCTCTTTCAGAGAACATCGGATGGATTTGATTCTGTACCTTTAAAGTCATCAGATGGTTCTCATATGGACATGTGATCGAAAGTTTTGACAGTTATTGACTTTATTTAACAGCATAGGCAAAGATCCATCGCTGCGTTATATGTTCATTTTCTGCCAAGATGTCAATTTTTCTGCCAAGTTGTCCATTTTTTTTTTTTAGTTTACATGAGGATGCATCTGAAACCTTCACAGCAACAAAAATGGCATGCATTTAAAATCACACATTTTCTGCTGTGAGCCCTGTGTACCTGAATATGTTTAATTTTTAGTTATATTTAATGCTGCCTTTTATTTTGCCTTTTTATTAAAGCACACCCGTCATGAGTAAAATATGTTGGCTGCCATTTTGTCCCTGTCCTATTGATTCACTGGCTTCAATACTTTCACTGACCCAGAGCAAGATTAGAGGTAAGGAATTCATACATTTGGCTATTCTTGGTTAAGCATCTTCTAGGTCTGTGTCACAAAAGTATTGAACACATTTTCAGACACAGGGCCAGCAATGACGGCGCACATATCTATCTCATAACAGGTGTATTATTATTAGTATTTTGCAGACCTGTATATTTAGAAAAAGCTAAGCTGTAAAATGTTTAGGTTTTGCCAAATAAAAAAAACAAAACAAAAACATTTTTTTATATCTTGCAATAACCTGTACATTATATTTCTTTCTGCGCAAGGCATGTGCACCTCATGTAAATAACATCACTAAAGGAATTATTTTCAAAGAAATTATAACATCCTTTACATTGTTTGTTTTTTTTGTTTGTTTGTTTTTTTTAAGAATCAGTTTGTATGCATAAAGATGCCTCTAATGACATTTTATATATAATCAGTTGATTAAATCTTCATGGTAACTTCTTGATCTGACTGATCTGTTCATTGAAGGAATGGCTAGCATGGCTCACATGGTTATTTAATAAACACAGCCATTTCTTTGGCCCCATGTATAATCTATAAGTTCCAAATATGATTTACTGTAGACGTCCTAAAACTGACCACACATTGTCTTGTTCATTAGAAAACAACCTGATTTGGGGCCTGTGTTAACCCCTTAGTGACACAGCTTCAGAAAATGTTTTCGCATCTGGGGCCAGAGCAATTTTGCCGTTTTTGCTATGTGTTTGTTTAACTATAATTTCCATCTTTCTCATGCATTACACCTACACATATTATTTTATATACCGTTTTTTAAAGGATAAAATGGGCTTTAATGTTATGTGACCTATTCATATATAGATTCTTTTTTTTTCCAACAGAATACAAAACAATGCAAAAAAACACATCTTTTACAGCTTTGGCAATAATAATGTGTACATAATTAGTATAGCTTACAGAAAGTAATTCATAATAATAAATTATTTTATTTGTCCTGATTTATAGTGTATATCACATCTCTGGGATTTCAGTTTATTTTGAGTTATAGGTCACAAAATACAAAGAGTGAAATACAATTTTATGGAACAATTTTAGAATGTGGTATGTTGTTCTCCTATCTTTTAATAGCCTCTTTGGCGCTGTATTTTCTAGGGCTACACCGATACTAGTGCAAATGCTGTATTTAGGAGAGTGCTCGTACTGCTCCGATGCTTAGCCCGATACTTTCGGTATCAGGAAGTTGGGCAGCAAGTCATTACATGCTGCCAGGCTTCCTGATTGACTGAGAAGCCAGCTCCATGCTCCCTCGTCACTTGTGATGAGGGAGCATGGAGCCGGCTTCCCGGCCAATCAGGAAGCCGGGCAGTGTGTACTGACTCGCTGCCCAGCTTCCTGACTGGTCGGAAAGTTGGCCAATCGGGAAGCCGCGCGCAGTGTAATGACGTGGCACCCGGCTTTCTGATTGTCCGGGAGCCGGCTTCATGCTCCCTCGTCACCTCATGATGAGAGAGCATGGAGCCAACTTCCCGGCCAATCAGGAAGCTGGGTGCCCCGTCATTACACGGCGCCCGGCTTCCTGATTGGCAAGAAAGTCGGCCCCATGCTTTCTCGTCACCTAGTGAGCATGGGGACGGCTTCCCTGCTAATCGGGAAGCCAGGTGGCGAGTCATTACACGCCGCCTGGCTTCCTTACTGGGACTTCCAGTATCGGTATTCGGTATCAGCGAGTACCGAAAAAAAACTATTGGTACTCGTACTCAATAACGAAATACCGGTATCGGTACATCCCTAGTATTTTCTTAAATGTTTTTATTTAACTGTTTGACTTTTTTTTTTCTTTTTACACTAGGGGGCACTAAGGGGTTATTTATTTTATTATTTACAGGGGCTTTGATACTTATTATTTCTGAGTAGAATACAGTATTCTCATGAGAGATACTTTGTATCACTTTTGTAACACTGCCAGCTACCTGTTTACAAACCACAGTGAGCAGCTGCCGGCTGTGTGACTGTCACGGCTCTACGATCACCGCAGTCAGCTCTTGCTGTGATCACATGACCACCTAACCTGCTGTTGAGGGTCTGCCTCCGACCCCAAGGGACCCAATAACGGCAGTAACTCAATGAGCTGCTGGTCTCTTCACGGACCAGCGCACATTGTACCCTTTGATGGAATGATCTAGTCACCGGTCGTAAACAAACTGAACGTTCGTGATAGGATAATTCCGTCATCAGACAGGAAGTGGTTAATGGGCTTTTGTTTGCATCAGAACTGCTTCTCTCCCCATACTAATCATTGGGAATGCATATCAGCATAAATTATGATATTGCAACTAAGGAGGGGGGTCTATTTCAGGTCAGAAAGAGGTCAAATACACCTGCCAATGAAATCTAAGGGCCTGTTTACATGACGTCCGTTTTGTGTGCTGACCGGCTCCGTACACTGCTGCACTCAAAATGCATCCCAATGTATCCCTATGTGTTTTATGGGCTCCAGTTCTCACGTGCGCAGTCCGTTCAGCTTACGACAGAAAAAATACTGCATGTCACATTTTGTCAGGTCCGGAAACGGTCAGGAAACACGTCCAAAACGCATCAAAAACGCACTGCAGTGCAGCTAACATACTAACAGCCCCACTCCAGCAACTTGAACGCATCAAAAACGTGGCAAAAACGCACTGCATCAGTCTGCAGATCCGCACCTGATATCATGTGAACAGGCCCTTAGGCCCCGTTCACGTGGGCATGTGTGCACAATGTTAGTCTATGGGCAGCCAGGTCTAAATGGACCAGGAGTGGACCACTGGCAGTGCAAGGCTGGGGGGGCCCACTGATATCCGGTCCCTGGAAGATTGGAGGTGGCATTTTTTGGAGGTTTACATTTTTAAATGTATTCGGCTGCCGTGAGGTCTCACGCTTGCTGGGGAACTCATGGCAGCCTTCTGGGGAACCACAGTGGTGCCTGTATACAGTGCTAGCCCACAGATCACAGAGCGCTCTAGAGGCCCCTACAGCTCATCTGCCGACTACCAGTGCTCATCCACCAGCCTGCACATCTGCCTTTGCTGCCCTGGTGAGACCCTCCGCATCTGCCCCTGCTGCTCTGGTGAGACCCTGCACATCTGCCCTGGTGAGACTCTCTGCATTTGCTCCTGCTGCCCTGGTGATACCCTCCTCATCTGCCCCTGTCGCTCTGGTGAGACCCTCCTGATTTCCCCTTGTTGACCTGGTGAGACCCTCTGCATCTACCCCTGGTGAGACTGTCTACATCTGTCCCTGCTTACCTGGTGAGACCCTCCACATCTGCTCCTGCTGAACTGGTGAGACCCTCCGCATCTGCCCCTGGTGAGACCCTCTGCCAGAGATATCAGGCTGGCACTCCAGAGCACCACAAAGTATGTACCAAATTTATATACTATTCTGCATTGCTGTTTAATGTATTTCTGGGATTTGTAGTCCCTCTACAGCTGGTGCCATTCTGCACCAGAGTGTAGAGAGTGTAAGCGCCTCTGTACAGAGACTGATATGGCTCAGTGTTCTCTGTACAACATTAGGGTATTATGTCAGAGCTGTATAATTGTAAAAAAATAAGGGTAACTATGGGGGGACATTAGAGAGTAAGCTACTTTGGTCCAGAGACCACTGGGGGGTTTGGGAGCCAGTGAGATCTGGTCATGCCCCCCCAGCAGCGGAAAGGGGGGGCGAGGAAAAATCTTACAACAGGGCCCTTTTGTTCCTTAGGTCCGTCACTGAAATTAACATCCAATTACCCCTAACCGTGGCCAGATCCGGAAAAACAAACATATCGGAGTTCCGTTTCAGTGGATCTGGGTGGATCACAGGTAATCTGTTGTAAACGGACATATGTTGTTTACATCCTATTCCCCTTAGACCAACATGGATCTGGTAATTTCTGTGTTTTCCTCCATTGCAAGTTGGAGAACAAAACTGGATGGACATGGATTTCACAATGAAGACATCTGTTCCGATCAGCAGGGGATCTTTGCACGGATATTAGAGATATAGGAGGTAAAAGGAAATCTCTTCAAAGTGAGTGGAAATCCCTTCTTGGACCATATTCATCAGAGCAGGCTGGAATTATTATTTGAAGATTTTCCTTCTGCTTGGATAACTACTGTAATAGTTTTAGATTTCCCACCACTTTCCTCTTCCAGTGACCATGGTCTCCAGGACAAACAGACTGTTACTATCACCAAAGAGGACACATACCCAACACCTGTCAGAGGTTAAACTCTTCACACTCAATGGAAAGCTAGAAACCTTTTTTTCTTTAGATACTTTAGTACTCAGAAGCAGTAAGTAGTAATACTTGTTATGCAATTGTATAGTGTGTTTATATAGAAGAACTACCATACAAAGAAGGCACCTTTTTATGGTTCCACCCTTTGGTGCACATATTGATACTATAGTCATACTAGGTGAGTGGTGGTTCTATGGCATTGTTTAACAGTAGAAGACCTTCAGCATACAAGCAATTGCAGCTATATTCGAATGTCGGTATTGTTGTGCTCATGTAAGAATCATGCCTGTCCATTGCACAGGGCCCTTGCAGCAAAGCTGCACTCCCCTGACAATTTGCAGTATTTTGATAGGTTGCATGTGGTGTTTAAGGTTTAGCTCCACCTTAACCCAATACTGGCCAATTAGGGCTACAATTACCCC